TCTGTTTTCTCTATCTTACCATTGATGCTTCCTGTTGCATTTTATTTCACTGAGTACATTTTGTAGCTGAAGAATTTTTAAAATTGTTTCTACTCTGTGAAGAGTATTTTTGTTTCCAAGACCATTGAATTTCCTTTCAATACCTGCTTTAAATTCTCAGAGCATTCTCCCACACTAACTGTTTCTGGTACTATTTATTCTGTGAGATCATAACTTGTGGAAATTCTTGATGTAGGTGTGCAATGTTATCTGAGCACTTCCTAATCTGCTTTTCTTGTACCTATCTTTCCAGAGTTTCTAAGTAGGCTGCTTATTTTCTCTATACCTGCACTTACATTTCATGCTTGGATGTGTTCATAACTAAAGGGTAATTTGAACCCAGGTTTGTTCCAAATACCCTATTGTATTATTCAGAGACAAGACAGCACCTAGCAAGAGTAGTCTGTTGATATTAAATCTCGCAGGATTTTATGATAATTTTACCCTTTCTCAAATCAACTTTTTGAGGCACTCTTGCTGAGCTTCAGAATGCTACTGGGCTTTGGGCAGTTAGTGTGGGCAGACTATTTCCAGGTTTCTGTCATATATATTTATTTTTTACAATCCCATTTTTTCTTGGGGGCGGGGGCGCGGGTGCGGTTGTGGGGCCTGAACTCTGGGCCTGGGTGCTGTCCCTGAGTTCTTCAGCTCAAGGCTAGCGCTCTACCACTTGAGCCACAGCACCATTTCTGGTTTTCTGTTACTCCACTAGGAGTAACAAACCACAGACTGGTGATATCCTGAGTGGTGGATAGTTTTTACACACTGATCTAACTTGGAACCCATTTCCTCTTCTACCATGGATCCCAGGCCTTGATACAGTGGGGCAGGCCTACAAGTAAGAGTCCTTAAGTTCCCCCATAAGCCTTTTTTAAAATCAGAAATAGCCCCTTCCCTACCCAAGCATGGCCAAACAAAAACAAATAAAAAGGCCTTAGGCCAAGACTTGTGGTTACTACAGGAAGTCAGACTCCAAGGTGCCAGGAACTGATAGGAGAGGGTGCAAAGCCACTAAGAGAACCTACTTGTCCTTTTTGCTTTCTCTAAATGGCACTGTGACGGGCGTGGAAGCCACAGGCGCCTCCTCCTCAGGGACCTAGTCTCCACTTCTTGGCTTGATGGTAGAGCTCATGCACATTAAATTCACGAACCACATTCTCCTCAGAGAAGGATCAAAAGACAGCTCATCCTTTCTTGTCTTGATATCAATGTGTCCATACACTTACCACACTCTGAGCCCACAACCTCCTGAGGTAGGACCAAGATCCACATTGCTGATGGCTTATTGGCCCAAAGTCCCTGCAGTAAGCCACAGGTGATTTAGGCTGACATAGAAGTCTGACAGCAAGCCATGTCTCATCCCCTGGCACTGGAGCTATTCCAGAAGCTCAAGAAAGAAAGGGAACAGGAAGACAAGATACATCATTTATCAAAGGCATGCTCACAGTGACCTGCTTCCTCATAATAGCCCATTCCACTGTGACTCATCAATGGATTACATTGATGCTAATACCACAAATACTAAGCTCCTTGGTTGCACCAACAGCTGGAGAATGACATTTTCAACAGATGACCTTTGGGAATGGAATTTTATGTTGAAACTGTGTCACAAATGGGTTCTTACAATATGTTGATGACTCAATCTGAAAAGACCCAAAGCCAAGCCAGTATATCATGCAGATACTGATAATTACATGACATTTGATACAACAAATTTGGCTTTTGATGTAAACTATTTTTTTCTCTTGTTTCTGACTTGGCTGAGCCTCAAGAGTATGGGTAATGACAACTAGATAACAGTTCCAGTTAGAAGCTGGATAAACTTCATTTAATTTCTTGGAGGTTTTTTTGTTGTTTTTGGCCAGTCCTGGGGCTTGAACTCAGGTCCTGGGCTGAGTCCCTGAGCTGCTTTTGCTCAAGGCTAGCACTCTACCACTTGAGCCACAACGCTGGAAGTCCAGCTTTTTCTGTTTATGTGGTATTGAGGAATTGAACCCAGGGCTTCATGCATGGTAGGGAAGCAGTCTACCACTAAAGCACATTCCCAGCCCCTTGGAGTTGTTTTTGAAAGTGAAAATTTTTGCAAAGAAGGTTGCTACAAAGCACATTTTGTCTACCTAAGCAGATGCTCTATGACTTAAAATATGAAATGTGTTGCCCTTCTCTCAATTTTTCTCTCCTACTCCAGGACAGTAAAGCAAAGTTCCTACTTTTCCATTTCAGAAAGGAAAGTTATGCTTATAACCAAGGAAATATGAATACTTGGTTTTGATGTATGGCCAGTGTACCAGTTCATGAAAAAGGGGCCCAGAAGTCAATTATAAGTGTCAATTATAATACTAAATATGGGAGAAGTCCTCAACTAGGCAGATAAGTCTTTCTGTGATGTTTAAAAGTGTTTAAAGTATTGTGGTGCTGGGAGGTGAGTAATACCAAAAACTTGCTAGGCTTTCTAGTGACAGACTACATTAAACATGTTAGGAATGGGCTTAAATGCAATGTAGATGGGCAGAATGTATTACTTCAGTTAACATCTTAGAAAAGGTCTAGATCTCATTGTGATCTAGGAAATGAAGTATTTTCAATGTGTGATGGCTCCTAGAAATTTAAGTGTAAGACACAGTGCATGCCATCTGTGGCATTGAGAAGTATTAATTCTGAAAACATAGAAAATACATTAGCAAAGACATATTAAGTAAATCAATGTTAGCAGGAAACTTCAGAGAGATTTCTCTAAGATGCTGGCTTCATCCCTCATGGTATTGCCCTCTTCTTCATTGTTATTTTAATTATTCTATCCATATTCAAGCACGTAAGGTCTTTGGCATTGGTGAGGAGGGTTGATTTACAAAAGTTGTCCGCTGTCAAGTCTATTTTTTTGGACTAAACTATTAGATCCGTATCTTTGGCACATATCATTTCAAGCATACAAGATGGAGTTGCCCTATTTTGCTGAGGAAAAGGTCCTTGGATAGGAGTCAACAGATACAGAGAGTCAAACTCTGGCTTTAGGCAAGCAAAACTTTCAGCCTTTACCTTTCCTCATCAAAACTCTACAGTTCTAAGTTTCAAGGTTAAGCATAGGTTGAATGCAGGCAGAAGACTTTGGTCATTTCTATGCCTTGAAACTGGCAGCTGGCATCATGGATGTGAGATTCTGAGGGAAACGGGAGAGTATTAGTCTTGACTGTGGGCTACTGGAATTGTGTAACCTGAGTGGCTATTCATAAGGGTCAAGAACCAGGATAGTCCTCTATGTTCTTACCCTGCTCCCTCTCTCTCTGGCTTTCATCTCCTAGCCAGCATTCCTGAGGATTTTCAATACTAATTGCTCTTTCACACATGTTTAAAGGGTAGGTGTCAATCCGTTTTTAGACAATAAAATGTAACTGTATGTAAACCACAGGGCATCTACATACTTCCCTCCCTCCATTTTTTCAGATATTCTCATTATGTAGCTGAAGCTGGCCTGTAACTCTCAATCCTCCTGCCTCAATTACTGAGATCTAGGCTTACAGGTGGTGTCTTCTGTACACTCACTCCTGGCCTTATACAGAAATATTATTTTACAAATAGCCTACTAAATTTGATGTTTTGGGTGAGTTAATTACCAAACAATGCCCACACTAGGGACAAAATAGCTAAGCAGGTTCACATAGTCAAAGCCAAGTAATAAAAATATATATGTCTGTCAAAGGTTCATTCTTAATTCTAACTTAAGTGAGTGGTTAGCACACAACATCTTATCAATTTGAGATGGCTCTAAGATTCTCTACCCAACAATTTACAAAAGAACAGGAGCCTGGAAAGCCTGAGTGGAGTTATTTCCTAATTTCTAACTTTCAGAATATACAATTAGTTCCTGTTAGGTTATAAATTCAATTGTCAGATTTAGGCCAAATTGAACATCGTGGCTCTGTCTATGGCCATACCACCCTGAACGCGCCCGATCTCGTCTGAACATAGTGGCTCAAGCTTGAACTTCTTTAAAGAGGAATTTCAAAAGGCGTTATTTAAACATGAAAAACAGCACTTCATCTCATGAGTATTGCATATGGTATTTAACCCTTTAATGACCATACCATTCTCTAATAACAATGTTTGAACAAATAATAAAAATCCCCAATGGGAGCCCACTGAAACTGTTGGAACAACTATTAGTGCTATATCCGGATACTTTATAGTCTTTTGTCAGTGTATCATTCTTATATGTTATATATTAGACTGAAAAGTAAATCTGGAGTTTAGATCTTAAACATTCTAAGGATTAAGAAGAAAATCAAAGATTTGGGGTTTGGCTTTATGATTACTTAACTTGCTTCAGCCAACAGTGCTTCTATATTTATTGCTATCCCATTTTCTTTCTTGGCATGTGTACTATAACAAGCAGTATTCTCATTTTACAAAAAGTAGACCAGGCATGTCACATTATATTCAACATGTTAGCAATTTTTTCCTTGCCGGTTTCTGGGGCTTGAGCACATCTCTATTCTAGATTCTGGCTGGCTAACTGGCTTTGAACTGCAATCCTCTAGGTCAGAGCCTCCTGTGCACAGTAAGAAATGAGTCTATACTAGAAATAATCTTTATTAAAATTTGGGGATAAGTCTGGCATTTTAGCACAAAAACGTCCCTCAATTTTACTTGTCTTTGATTTGTCAGTCTTTTGCACACTATAAGACCATGTGTAAAGCCAGGTGATGGTGGCTCATGCCTGTAATCCTAGCTACTCAGGAGGCTGAGATCTGAGGATTGCAGTTCAAAGGCAGCCTAAAGGAAAGTCATTAAGACTCTTATCTCCAATAAACCATTCAGAAAAGCGGTGCTGTGGCTCAAATGGTAGAGTGCTAGTCTTGAACTGAAGGGCTGAGGAACACACCCAGGCCCAGAGTTCAAGCCCCACCACCACCAACAGCAACAAAAGTCTAAATGCTTAAAGAATACTACTGCTTCTGGGCATAGTGGGGTATGCCTGCAATCTCAGCTACTTGGTAGGCAGAGATCAGGAGAATTAGTATGAGGTCAGCCAAGCAAAAAATGGGACACCAATCTCAATCAAGATGGTTTTATTGGTTGGTAGTCCCCGCTGCACAGGAAGCACAGACAGGATGTGGTGCAAGGCCAGCCCCACACACAAAAAAATAGACCCAAGCTAAATAACACAAGCTGGAGGCATGCCTCAAGTAGTAGAGTACCTGTGGTCATTAGTTCAAAACCCTTGTACCATAAAAAGTGACAAGCAGGGAATTTTAGACATGACTCAACTATGTCTCAGGTATTTATTCTGAAAAATAGCCTTTCTTAATTTTTAGGAATGGGGGTACAAAGTACATGGACAGGTTTAGTTGACATAGTTACATAGTTTGGTTGAAATAAATGGTGCTCTATGATAGAAAACCTAAGATTTTAAAGATTCAAACATTCTCTTTCTGGAGATAGGTAAGAATACTTTTGTCTTGCTAAATATGGATCACAAAACATCAGATTTTCGGTTTTCATTTATCAGTGATGATATGTACAAGAAACATTTATAGAAACAAAAACTCCTTTGAACTGTTGCATTAAAAATAAAGGTGAACAAAATCATACACAATGAAATAAAATCATGAAAATGAAATAAAAATCAACATCCACTCAGCTAAGTGAACAGCAAACTTAAACTAGAAGACAAAACCTCACTACAAATGCTATTTCTCTCCAGCCGCCTCCCCGCCCTGCCCCGCATGCTGCCACCCTTTCATACTAGGGTACCAGTGCAAGAGGCTCGTGGATGTAGCCAGCCGGGCAGCAGCTCCTAAGGCAGCAGTGGCTGTGCTTCGAGGAATGTAGAGCTTCTGAGAAATCTGGTGCGTGGGAGACAAAATCAGAGAGAGCTGGTCTATGCCACCTTGACTCTTGTCCTTGAACACAGTGACAGCATCATTACTAGAAAAATCTTCATTCTTTATGCTCCCTGGAGAGCTCTCCACTAAAAATGAGAGAAAACAGGAATCTTTTCAAGAGGTTTTCAAATCAGTCTTTAGCAACATGTCGTACAGCCACCATCTGTTAGGTGGTGATAGCAACCAATAGCCAAGCAGAGAGGCTGAGTCAGAAACTAGGCAACAAAAAGAAACATGAATCAGAAGAATATTTCAGAATTGTAATAAATTCATATCCAGTAAGTTCTTTCAGCACTGAGAAAAATGGTATGCCCTAGGCATTTCTTATTGCCAGTGGTTCCAATGAAAAGTCTCTGCCAATAAGAACAAAATCATACTAGACTGCGTACTAACAAGAACCAAAAGTCAGTCATCACATTAAATTATCACCATACCACACACATTAGTGTGTAGTATAGAAATGACCTTTTAAACAGTGACTAAGAACCAAGGAAGAGGATGTTATACATTCTTATAAGGCAAAGTAGCTGGTCTGTGTGCCTGCCACAGTGAGAGGAGAGGAGGAAAGTAGTTCTTCATCTAAGATAACATGCTTCTTATATTCGCTTGGCATAGTGGTACATTCCTGTAATCCCAAATCCTTGGAGGAAAAACCCAAGCTGAGGCAGGAGATAATGACTTTGATTGAGCCAGACTGGGGGGGGGGGGAGGAGGATACCTGCTTTAAAAAATTCAGCAACAGTGCCATGGCAAACAAAGATGGGCACTGCTGTCAATCTTAAAAACAGATTTCAAAACTTTAGAGCAGGGCTGGGAACGTGGCTCAGTGGTAGAGTGCTTGCCTCGCATCGAACCTGGGTTCGATTCCTCAGCACCACATAAGCAGAAAAAGAAAAAAGCCGGAAGTGGCGCTGTGGCTCAAGTGGTAGAGCGCTAGCCTTGAGCTGAAGAGCTGAGGGACAGTGCCCAGGCCCAGAGTTCAGGCCCCACAACTGGACCCCCCCCCAAGTAATTCTTTATAGTTTTTTATGTTCAGTTATGTTAAAGAGGATTTGTTCCATTTGTTAATGAAATTCTAAAGTACAAAACTAATGCTCACTAATGAAAAAATGTAGTTTTATAAGAGATACTAGATGAGTTCATATTTTAAAAGGTATCTATCTATCTGAATGAATGGAAGCAAGGACAAATGGCCAGAGAAGAGTAGCAAACTGCCTACGTGCAGCCAGGTTGAACAGTAATTGTATATATTCTCTCCCCCTACAGAACTAGGAACCTGGAAGGATTGTATGGAGCAACTTAAGACTAGTGCAGGACAGTGATGCCTAAGAGAAGGGAAACAAATTAGAGGCGCCTTCACTTACTCCTAGAAAGAATGTTCAGGTTATGAGTATAGGAAAAGAAGTGCAGGCTGAGTGTGAGGCCTTCCTCAGAAGACAAAGTTCAATATTCAGGGAGGACAGCTATCTAGAATTTGTGAGTATAAAACTCCAGGAAAGAGCAGCTATAGAGGGCAAAGAGCAAGAGATCTTACACTTAGACTGAGCAGTGATCTGCTTCCTGTGCAAAACTGCTCAGGCCAGCATAGGGTACCACCTCAAAATAGTGGGAAAAACAATTATAAGAACTTGCATCAAACCCCAACCATTTTGAATTCTCACCTACTACAGTGGAAACAACATGTTAATATATGTGACATCAAATCCCGACCAGTATCCTGAGAAACAGCAGTTAGTACCCAGACTAAAAAGTCTGTCCCAGTACAGCCTAATAAAAAAAAAAAAAGAATCTGGGCAGTTGTGGCTCACACCTATAATCCTAGCTACTCAGGAAGCTGAGATTTGAGGACTACAGTTGGAAGCCAGCCCAGATAGGGAGGTCTGTGAGAATCTAATTAACCCCAGAAAAAGCCAGAAGTGGCACAGTGGCTTAGTAGAATGCTAACCTTGAGCAAATAGTAGCTCAAGGACAGCATCCAAGCCCTAGGACTGGCGAAAAAAAAAAATCCACAAAGAATCAAACCAATCGAGACCAAACTGCATGTCATTTATACAAAAATCTATTGATGCAGATAGGAAAAATGAAATATAATCAAAGCAGGGTACTACCAAGAGGGTGAAAAGTCCTAAGAAAGCTTCAAAATATTTGAAGCAAAACCTTAGAAAACTGACAATCCACTATAACGGGAAAGTTCAACAATTACATCTTTAATACATGAGCAAAAGTTATATAGAATACAAAACTATCAATTGATCTACCCATTGTCAGTTTGTACATTGTTCTATAGAGCATGAAGAACCTGCTGAGCGCTGGTGGCTCACGCCTGTAATCCTACCTACTCTGGAGGCTGAGATCTGAGGATTGTGGTTCAAAGCCAACCCAGGACAGGAAAGTCTGTGAGACTCTTATTTCCGATAAACCACTCAGAAAACTGGAAGTGGTGTTGTGGCTCAAGTGTTAAGAGTGCTAGCCTTGAGCTGAAGAGCTGAGTGGCAATGCCCAGGCCCAGAATTCAAGCCCCACAACCGACAATAAAAAAAAAAGAACCTACTCTAGGCTATTAAATGTCAACAATCAAAAGGTTTGAGAGAATTTTTTTTATCACAATGAAGTTACTTAGAAATCAATAATTAGAAATCAATAATTATAAAAAAGTAATGATTGACATCTGGGATGGAGAAAAGTATATTATTGGAAGGTAATAAGGAATGAAAATGAATGGCAAGTACATGAAAGATTGTTATCGGAAAGTAATAAACAAAGATATGAATGGCAAGTCTACAAAAAGATTGTCAATATCATAGTAAACAAAAATGCAAATTATAATACTGCTTCTGCCAAAATTAAAATAGATCAAAAATACCATCTGAGGATTGTGGGTCAAAGCCAGCCCGGACAGGAAAGTCTTCAATTAACCACCAGAAAATCAGAAGTGGTTCTGTGGCTCAAGGGGTAGAGTGCTTACCTTGAGCTGAAGTGCTCAGGGACAGCACCCAGGCCCCAGAATTCAAGGCCCATGACAGACAAAAAAAAAAAAGTCAACAACAACAAAAGAAGATAGGTCTTAGGACAAATGTTTGTTAATGTCAGCAATCTTTCAAGAAATGTTCCGAGAAAGGTTAAGTGAAGATTTTTAGCAACACAGCTACAATGTATTTGTCAAGTGTGAGCACACAATTATATGTAAACCTACCAGATGGAGAGAATTTTTCTGGAGAGTCATCCATTGCAGGAGTTGAATTGGACAACTGTGTGGACAACTGACTGTATTTTGGTTGAGTCTTAATGTGTCTAGTTTCAAACTGGATCCCTTCTGTCGATAGCTGTGATGGGGTAAGAGAGATGTAGAGTTCCTCCAGTTTAGGCAGTGTGGAAGAATCCAAAGGACCCTTTTAAGTTTGTTACAAAATGGAGCAAAGAAAGTGACATGAATTAAGTCTTTTTTGTTTCCTTACACAAAATGCAAATATTTTCATATAATAAAACTTTCAAAAAGCTAGATGTTCAGATCAAGCTCTTCTCAACATATAATGTTCATAATAATGTTCACATTACAATATATGCAAATATGATACATCAGTGAGGGGCAGTCAGATCACAGAAATGATCATGAAAGCTACTTAGTCATAATTAAATGATCTAGAGAGGAAATGGTATAAGCTGTTCTGCTGGTTTCAAGATGTTCCTTATATATTTGAGAAACAAATGGGTTTTTTTTTGCCATGGTTAATGCTTTCTGCCAAAACAGTATGGTACTGGTCTATACTGGGGAAGACACCTAAGTTATGGGAGGAATCCATTTATCCCTATGTGAGTTTAATCAACTTTTTAGTTCTGGGTCTAACATTATCTTCTGAAGGAGAAACTATATTAAAATTAATTTAAATCCCATTATGTATTTTATGTATCAGTATCCTACCAAATGCTAAGAGCCATCATTTTTACTCTGAAAACCATCACAGTAACACTCACTACCTATTTACCATTTCAATTCTGGCTGTGCCAGTATTTTTTTCTTGAGCAGCCAGCCCTTCTGCTTTCTGAATTTCTATATTCATTCCATTAACAAGGCCTGAATGTTGCCCTGAACCATCCCATACATCTTCAGATGGAGAAAAACACCAGTCCTAAAGAAAGAAAAAATATGCAACAATAAACAAGTAACAGCGATACACCAGCCTAGAACAGAATGACTTGGGCATGGAAGGTAATGTGACTTTTCTCATTGCCTTACTGTACCCAATATCTTAAGCCCTTGGGTCTAATCTCATAAAAATAAATACAGGGTTTACTACCACTTTTCTGCCTAGATGCTTTTTTTAAAATGATTATCTAACACTTAAAAGGTACAGATAAATACTAAGGAACATTTCTAAGGCCTATTTCTTCTTTCTTATAACTGTAGGAAAGTAAGTTAAATTTCAGTCATACAGTTGGGTACAATTAGCAACTATCCTGACTACAGAAACTCCAAGAATAATCCAACAAAAATAAAATTAGAGAAAATAATTAAATTGCTAAAGCTCTGACTAGGGGTCAATGATAAAAACAGAAATCATTAACACTTAAAATGTCAACTATTCAAATAGTCTTTCATTTCTCTATTCTAGCCTTTACTACTACCACTTAAAAAACTTTCATAAATTCTTTTTAATTATAGCCCGACCAATCCTCATAGCTTTCTCAAGGCCAATTAAATATGAATTTTCTTTTTCCCAGTATTGATTTGCTGTTATTCTTAGGCTCTAACCTTCTGTGGTATTTCTTCACATGATGAGTACTGTTCCTTTCCAGCAAGGCTTGAGGTGAACAGATGGGAGACAGCAGCGTCACCTTTTCCCATTCTAGCCCGCAGTGGTAACCAGTTCTCATCCCAAATATCATCACCTGTGGTCACTGATTCCAGGCATGGCATTCCAGTAGGAATCTCATCCTAGAAGGCATCAGAACACAAAGGAAAACATGGCTTATACTTCTTATACAGCGTAGTTTAAAATTTAGGTTTACAATTTTGTCTCTTAGTAGGGAAGACAGTATAAATACACCAAAGTGTCAACTGATTTAAGTTACAAACCCATGATCAAAAAGGACCCAAAGGAAAAACAGCTATTTGCATCCTGGATATAGGAAAGCAAACAACTAGTTAAGGAATATTCAGAAAGTGCAATAAATCAAATTCAGGAGAATTTTAGAAGTGAAATTTTTAGGAGTGTAAAAGGGAACTGGAAATTAAGAGCTGTACTATCTAGAGACAGCCTTCCCTAGCCAAGAACTCAAGCACCTACCTCTCTTCCAACTGTGGAAGACCAGAGGGCCTTCTGGAGAGTCAAAAGGGTAAAACTGAGTGTGACACAAACATAAGAAAAATTTTGGTTGTGACATAGTTTGCCACAGTGATGGAAAGCTAAGAGAAACAATGTCAAAGGAGAAAAAGCTTATTTTGCTTCATGCTTTCAGAAATTTCAGTTTCTGGTCATTTGCATCTATTGCTACAGGACTAAAGCAGAGCACAATATACAGCAGTGGGCAAAAAAAAAAAAACACCACCCTTCAAAGACATGCCCCCAATGAGCTATTCCCTCCAACTAGGCCCTGCATCTGAAAGTTTTTACCATTATATTTGATATACACTACGTAAAAGTTAAACTGTATAACTTGACGGTAGGATGGGAAAAGATGAGGGAGAACACTAGAGGGGTGACATTAATCATGATGCATTGTGTTCATAACCTTACTTCTGGAATTGAAAGCCCTTTATACAGCTGTTTAATAAAAATATTTTTAAATTACAAAAATATTCAGCCTTAAGATTTTCCTTCCTTCTCCAATCACTCTCCCAACTGAACACTTCTGTCTGCAAATTGAGCAGCTTTCTCATTTATACTTCATCTATTGCTATGTATCCACCCACAATCCTTGGTTAGCTATGTAATTTGTAGATAACTGGATTGCCAGATCATTTTTGTTTACTTGTTTTTTTATTAGTTGGTTTATCTTTTATTCTCTTTTGCTTCTCTTTCCCAGTATATCAATACCTAAACTTTTCTACCTATTTTTAACTGTCATTACCCCACTACCACCTTCTAGTAACTGTAGCTGCTACCTTTTCCTAGTCTTCTAATAGCATACATATACCTTATGACGATAACAGGCCTATCCCCCAATCACCATTCCATTACCATGCTTATTACTAAAGGTCTTCTTTTTCACACACACACGCGCACGCACGCGCGCATGCTCACACCCCCACACACACACACACAGACACTTTGCTTCTGTATTTCAACATACTGGAACAGTAGTGATGATTTGTCATTACTAGGAACTGTTGTCATCTCAGGGTGTATATTATCTGACTTCCTCCAAGCTACGCTTCTTCTCCCCGAATAGCACACTGGACCCAGCACTTAACGAGGGTGGCCAAATCTTTGACTACTGAACCATGACCTCTCCCAGGATAGCAATAAGAATTCACCATAACCCTGTCACTACTCAATTGTATCCCAACACTAGGACATTTCCAACCAAAAGATCCTATGAGGTTACACTCTCCCCCAACCCAAAACCTTGTATGCAAATGTATAAATACCAACATAGAAATACTAGTAAAACGAAACAAAACTAAGGAAACATGTCTCCTTCAGATGCCAACAATTTCACAACAAAGGAACTAAATGAAAGTGAAGTGGATTAAATTTTGAACAATGTACTCCAAAGAATGACAAGAATGATAAAAGTGGAGGAATCAAAACAAACAGGTGACAGAGAATTACAACAAATGAACTAAAGTAGACAATGTAAGATATAAAAGAATTTAATAAAGATATAGACATCCTGAAAAAAATGAAATTTTAAAAGAAAAAACCCTAATAACCCAAATACCTAAAATCTTGCTAGTAGATTAGAACAAGTTGAAAATGCAGAATAATGATAAATTAGGGAAACCAGATTAGTTAAAACACAAAGGAAAAATAAATGAAACATGGAAGAGCTATGGAACAGCATTTAAAGACTATGAATTATGGGTATAGAAGAGATAAAAATTAGATAAGATAGATATTTAATAGAATTTTTCCTATCTCACCCAGGTACTAGAGGTCCTACAGAAAAAAACACCCCAGACAAATTAAAATGAGAACAAATAAAGAATATTAAGGCAGGTGCTGGTGGCTCATGCCTATCATCCTAGCTATTCAGGAGGCTGAGATCTGAGGATTGTGGTTCAAAGCCAGTCTAGGCAGGAAAGTCTGTGAGACTCTTTTCTCCACTTAATTACTCAAAAAAGCTAGAAATGGTACTGTGGCTCAAGTGGCAGAGTGCTAACCTTGAGCGAATGAAGCTCAGGGACAGCACCTAGGCCCAGAGTTCAAGCCCCAGGACCAGGGGGAAAAAGAATATTGAAGCTGCAAAGAAGTGACAGGTTATTTGTATCAACAAACTTAATAGATTTCTCAATACAAACTCTAAAAGAGCAAGGTATATATGAAATGACATCATTCCAGCCCTGAAATATAATTACCAACTTCTAGTGTTTTGTTTTAGTCAGTCATGGGGCTTGAACTAGAAGCCTGAGCACTGAGATCTTTTGCTCAAGACTAGTCTCTACCACTTTGAGTAACAGTGCAACTTCTGGTTTCTGGTAGTTAACTGGAAATAAAGTCTCACAGATTTCCTACCTGGGCTGGCAACCCCCTGAGTAGCTAGGATTATAGGTGGGAGCGACCAGCGCTCACCTCAGCGTAGTGTATCTAGTAAAGCTATCCTTTATAGTTGAATTTACAGTCATAATGAACAGAGATTAAGTTGTAAGCATGTTTCCCCACTGAAGTTTTTTTGTATTTTGTTTTTTCTGTACAGTCCTGGGACTTGAACTCAGGGCCTGTTCTGAGCTTTTGGCTCAAGGCTAAGTATTCTATCACTTGAGCCACAGTTCTCTTCTTCCAGCTTTTTGGAGGTTAACTAGGAACAAGAGTCTCATGAACTTTCTTGCCCAGCTGACTTTGAACCACAATCCTCAGATATATTAGTTGACTTCACTCCCAGCTTCTAGCTTGCGAATAGTAATCTGCACATTGAAGCTAGATAATGCTTTCTCTTTCCTGTGTTATATTGCATTGCTTTAGTCCCGGTGACTATCAAAGAGAGACTCTAACTCATCTTTGAGAGATGAGGTATGACACCAAAAGTAGTGGTACTCAGCCATTTTATTCTAAGTCCTCTTCGTTTATGAATTACTTATATTAATTACATTTGTAAAAATAAAAAAGATACTACCTTTCCCCTTTCCTTCTCTTACCTCATTGTCTTCCTTCAGGTTGTTTGGCTCCAGGATGGCCCACTTGGGATCTTCTTCACAGCTCTTATGGGTTTTCAACGGATTAAACTCAGAATCATTTAATAGTTCCATTGGCACAGATTTAAGGTCACTTAAAGACTTTTCATTATTAACATCCTGCTAGTAGCACAAAAGAAAAGTTTTGTTTTCAATATTACTGCTGCTTCCAAGGTCTACATATCTATCTATCTTAGAGGGTATCTTTTACTTCAGTTCATACAAATGTGTTATTCTAATTTATCATGACCCTAGGCTTCCCATCCGTTAAAGTATTTCAGGCATTTTTTGAGCATGTATTACCAAATCTCTTAAAGGAAGTAAAAATGTAAAGGGAAAGCAATCAGATAATCACAGTGCACAGTCTTCTGAGTACAGTCATCATAAAGATATGTTCAAAATATTATTTAGAGAGAAGGGGAGGTAGTTGAGAAGTTGCAATGAAGAAGATAACACAATCTGCAAAGACACGTCAAACACAGGAGGAATCAGCAGAGGACTAGTCTACTACACAAAATGCAAACTGAGGTAACAAAGAAGAGTTTTCTTTCTTTTTGGTGGAAAGTCTAGTCATTTCTAGGATTGAATTATGATTATCTGAAGGTATCAGATAAGGAAATATTCAAAAAATGTTAAATTCTTAAAAAAGGTTAAATTCAATTAACTGAAGAAATAATTTTTCTTTAGCAATGATACTTAAGTAAAATTTGGGCTTATTATGGGTCAAACAAGTCTGATTTCAACATTAACTAGAAATCTAAAATTCTTATACTATATTTTGATATGCGGCAGGAATAGTCATATTTTATTTGTGATAAGGTTTTGATGTACTGTCCAAGTTGATCTTGAGTTTATAATGCTGTTGAAATTACATGTGTCCTTCACCAGGCCCTAGCTCACACTCAGTCTTGACATTTTACCTTTTATAATTAGTATCTACTGAAATCATACTAATACACACATACGTAATTCATACTGAACATTAATTTTTATTTAAAGAACATACAATGCTTTGTTATATCAACAAACAAAATATTCTTGGACCTCAGCCACCAGTATCTTTTGTCCTAAGGAACACAAGACTCAAGAGGATTGATTTAAAAAGTGGCATGCTGGACAAGCACAGGCCCTAAGTTCAAATGCTAGGCCAAAAAAGAAAAAGAATAGGGAAAACAAACCAGAAACTGGTCATAGCGGTACCTGCCTGTAATTCTAGCTTCTTGGAAGGCTTCTTGGGAGGCATACTTAGAAGAAAAGAGTTCAAAAACAAGATATAAAAAGGAGAATTCTGAGGAATGGTTCAAGAGGTAGAGCACTTGCCTAGCATTATCTAATGCCATGGGTTCACAGCATGCATGAAAAAAGGAAAAGCACATTTAAAAAAAACCCTGAAGTTTTTACTATGGTGTCACTTTCCCTTTAGCCTGGGTGAATTGTTATGAAGATTAAATTAGCTAATATATTGTGAATGTATGACAATGCCAGTGATGTAATATAACACATCATAATATTACTGTGGAAGGGAGAATTGGCAACATGTTTACATGACACAAACAATAGTTGAGAAAGACCCTGGAGTAATATAGAAGAACACATGCAGGAAACAAGGGAATTCAGTATATTGCAGGAGGAAACAAGACTAATGAAAAGGTTAAAACCAGCAATAGTGACAGACTAATTGTTCATCTTGTGCAAAAGTCCCAATATTTCCTAAGTCTGGAAAGCTTCAAATCTCTCATATATAAAATGACCACTATGTTTAATAACAGTAATTATAATATTTGTGAAACCCCTTACCAAGGTATGTAACATGTTATCTTTGGTTTGTGGACTTTTCTCTGGGTTTTCCTTTAAACAGCGCTGCTGGGAAGGATAACCCAATTCTGTCAAGACCACATCATCTGGCTCTCTACCGGCTTTAGTATATAAAGCTAAAGGGTTTAGGTTTTTGAAACCCTAGGATTAAAAAAAAAGGAATAGTATTTAAATTACATAATCAAAAGAGAAAAGGTGAAAAGGTTAACACTTCATAGAAATTTTCAAATGCTATGAAAGTTCATTATCTTCTAAAATCTCATAGTCAGAACATTTCTCCATATTGAAATGTTTTAGTTACAAAAATTAAGACCAATATGTGTAGTAATGTAGCTACCACTCTCAATAACTGCAAAATAAAAGCTCTTCTTCTCTAGTATATCCTTAACTAGGGACTTTGGGATAAGAGAATATTTGGTCATTTGTTTAATATAAACATATTCACCTCTAAAAGACAATTAGTCAAATTTTTTGCAAAATGTTCATTTATGGTCATCTGAAGTTTAAGTGATGCTTTCCATTAAAAAGCACGAAGTTAATACATGTCTCTAAGATTAAAGAGTAAGTCAAATAACCTTCTGTATTAAAATTCTCTTACATCCTAAAGTGTTTGAATTAAAGAAAAATATGTCAAAATACATCCAGACTGCTCTACCTTAGAAGGTACATTTTCTCGACATATAATAGCATGGCCCTCTGTTTTTAAGACATGATGGAAATAGATGTCTTCATTTGATGATGTATCGCAAAGAAAAATGTTTAGGATTCCATCTATGTATTCATTCACCACTCCCACTAATGGCTTCAAGCCACACAACTTCTGGAACTGCAAAATAGCTTGGGGTGTCCAGTGTTCCTGAAATATCAAGATATTTAATTTAGGTTATACAGTAGATCTAAGCATGAATAACAGTAGTCACTATGAAAATTGATTACTGGGAAGCTAAAGCTTTAAGTGGAAAAATAAAACCATAAAATAACAATAGCACATATGATTTGTTGAGTCAGACTGCATTGTGGAAAATTAGAATCATGTCATGAGAAACTCCCATTTTCAGAATTAATGAGCTGGATCATTAGACCAATCTTCCCACAGAAATAAAACCTAAAACTTCTAGGTGAAGTGTTTTTAATGTGTCCCAAAACTAAAAACTGGTAAGTTAATAACAAATTATTTGGTTAGAATCAAAGGTAGAACCTATTTTACTGTAAAGTCACTTGCTATTCTAGGCAAATCTAAACTTTGGTTTTGGTTTTACAAAAAGTTATCCCATACTAGACCATAAATAAGCTACTTTATGTTTTCAAGGGCTGACATTTATCTAGTGATTCATCAATAAATCAATAATTTTAAATTTAATTCAATAATTTGTTTAAATCAATAATTAAAGGTTGAGAAGTAGTCTTGTAAACTTTCTGCCTAGCCTGGCTCAAACCACATTCTAGCTTCCCAAGTAGCTGCAATTACAGGTAAGACCCAAAGTGTCCAGCTAAAATTAGAATAATATTTCAACTAAGCAGTAAAATGTATTCACAGAAAAACTATAACATCTACCAAAAGAAAGGCTAGAAATTAAGAATCTAAGTTTCAATATTGGAAAAAGAACAAAGAAAGTAAATAATAAAAATAAGACAAAATGCAAAACACATGCTTCTAACAAGGACAAAAGAATGAAAAAAAATTTTTTTGCTGTTTGTTTGTTTTTTGTTGGTTGTGGGGCTTGAACTCAGGGCCAGGTCCCTGAGCTGTTTTGCTCAAGGTTAGTGCTCTCCCACAGTGTCACTTCTGGTTAATTGGAGAGAAGAGTCTCTCAGACTGTTCTGCCTAGGCTGGCTTTGAACTGCAATCCACAGATCTTAGCCTCCTGAGAGGCTAGCATTATAGGTGTGAGCCACCAGTGCCAGGCAAAAGTTGATTCTTTAAAAAAGCAAAACACATATGGGTGCTGATGACTCACACCTGTAAACTTAGCTACTCAAGAGGTTGAGATATGAAGATCTTGGTTCAAAGCCAGCTTGGGCAGGAAAGACCTTGAAGACTTTTATGTCCACTAAAAACTACAAGAAAAACCAGAAGCGGAGTTCAAGTGGTAGAGCACAAAAGCTCAGGGAAAGCATCTAGGCTCTGAATTTAAACCTCAGCACCAGATCAAAAAAATGAAAGAAAAAGATAATCAAAATGGCAAGTAACACTCTTTAAATCATAAAAATAATGTCACATAACACTCTTTAAATCATAAAAATGAGAAATGATACAATTAAATAATATTTGAGATATAAAAAGAATGCATCATTACAGATGTAGACATCAAAAGTACTGAAAAAGGGCAGGGTGCTGGTAGCTGATGCTTGTAAATCAAGAATCTGAGATCTGAAGATCATGGTTCAAAGCTAGTCCAGGAAGACAAATTCAAAGAACTCTTGTCTCCTTTGAGCTAGCAAAAAGCCAGAATTAGAGCTGTGGCTCAGGTTGCACAGTGCCAGCCTTGAGCAAAAACGTGAAGCTTAGAGTGCAGGCTTTAAGTTCAAGCTCCAATACTAGTACAAAAAAAATACACTACAACAGACACTATCCAAAAGGGAAAAAAAGCTGGGTGCAGGGGCACACACCTGAAATCCCAGTACTCAGGAGGCTGAGGCAGGAAGCTGGCAAGCTATAGGCTACTTATGGTGACACAGTGAGACTCTGCCTCATACAAACAAGCCTAAAGGATATTATCAACAATTTAGGCCAATAAAATTTTAAATTCAAGACACATTCCTTTAAAAATAATTTCAAAAAGCTAAAGAAAAAATTCGGTGTATTATTTGTTGCTTCAGTGCCTCAATCATTAGGATATTCATGTTATTACTAAGTTAAAAGTGAGACATTCAGTGTTTTTCAAGTTGGTAGTATTTGTATTTCTTAAGTTAATAAACAGCATTAAGACTTTTGGGATACATACAAATCAACACATGATATACACTCCAAAATATGAGGTCATTATTTTATTTTTAAAAGTTGTATGTTTCTTAAATTCAGAGTACATAGAAATAATCTTTTTATTTGCCCACATATTAACCGTTTTCCATAATCTTCATTCCTTCCTATAGATGTCAGTTACCATCTGGCTCAGTTTCATTTTCTTTCAGAAGTGCAAGAGATTCCGTTAGCATTTCTTATACAACTTACCATTTGCGTGGCACTGCTGAGGATAACCCAAGGCCTGGCACATACTGAGTAAGCAATCTAATACTCACCAACTGTGGCCATGGCCCTGCCCACTGCCCTCCCACTTTTTTACTTACAGCCATGTACTATATAACTACATATACCAGTTCGGTTGATGATATACTACATATATAATAGTGTTCCCATAGATTATAAGGAAACTGAAAAATTCCTATTGCATAGTGATGTTGTAGCAGTGCTAGCACATTGCAACACGATGTATTATTCATGTGTTTGTGCTGACATTGTAAAAACAAACCTATTGCACTGCCAGTTGGACTGAAAAGTATAGCACTTATAGTTATGCATAGTATATAATATTTGATAGTATATAACTATGTTATTGGGGGCTGAATTTATTTCTAATTATTCTATATGCCAAACACAATTACAATTTCTCCAATTTGTAACATTTATGCTATTCTACTTTGCCTGGAATGTCTCTTCTGTGTATAATATTCCTAATCTTCCAAGTCCCACTCAAGTGCCAACTCTTTTCTGAGACCTTCACTTAATACACTGTTAATTTTGCCTTCAACAGAGTTAGGCATGATTTCTTTAGGGTTTTTCTAATCACTGTAAAACCTCTATTAGAGAAAATATGGCATGGCACAATTTTGTGTCCATATCTACCTTGCATTCTCAAGATAATGATATTGGGGGAGGGGGGCTAGTCCCAATGTTTTGTGTGGTTTTGTTTTTTGGCCAGTCTTAGGGCTGGGCACTTTCCCTGGGCCTTTTTGGGCTCAAGGCTAGTGCTCTACCACTTGAGCCACAGAGCCACTTCTAGCTTTTCTGAATTGTTTATTGGAGATAAGAGTCTCATGGGGACTTTTCTGCCTGGCTTCAAACCACCATCCTCAGATCTCAGCCTCCTGAGTAGCTAGGTATGAGCCACTGGTGCCTGGCCCAGTGTTTCATTTTTGTATCTAAGAACTCGGAACTATTCTTGACACACACTAGTCAAATGTCTTCTGATTAATGGGAAACACGCAAACATACCTCAATTGGTCTCACCCAAGCCAAAGAACAAGGGATAGCTTGAGCTGGAAGCTTTGTGTAGCAGCACCTGCAGTAGAAAACAAACATGTGACAAAGGAGGGGGTAACAATGCTCAATAGGAAATGTACTCATTACCTTACTCATGTAACTGTAACCCTCTGTATAGTATCTTTACAATAAAAAATATTTATTAAAAAAAGAAAACATGGGCTGGGAAGGTAGCTCAGTGGTAAAGTGCTTGCCTTGCATGCATGAGGCCCTGAATTCGATTCCTCAGCACCACATAAGCAGAAAAAAAAAAGCCGGAAGTGGCACTGTGGCTCAAGTGGTAGAGTGCTAGCCTTGAGCTGAAGAGCTGAGGGACAGCACCCAGGCCCAGAGTTCAAGCCCCATGACCGGACCCAAAAAAACAAACAAACATATGAACATTTAATATGTGTTTAAACTGAATTTTAGGGAATCTAAATCATTTAATGACTTGTTATTTCCAAGTATTTAATTCATAAAATTTACAATTAATGCCTTGCTAGTTATCACGAATCATGCCTAAATGCTAGTTACTAGGGAGGTAGAGATAGAAGGATTATGAGTTTAAGGCCAACTAAAGTTCGCATTGAGACTCTATCTTCAAAAGAATAAAAAAGGAAGGGTCTAGGAACATATATTAAGTGGTAGGATGCTTGCCTATCACATACAAGGCCTTGGGTTCAATCCCTACATTGAATCAAAGCCTTGTTCTTTAAAGCAAACTTAAATTAAAAAAAAAAAACAACGCAGTAAATGCCTTACGATGCAATTAAAACACAGGTATGAACAGTACTACTTTCATGCCATACAAATATCTTAGCATGGTTCCGTTAAGAGACTGAAATTTATTCTCATAGTCAAGTAAAAGAAAACATAAGACTATAATCTGTGAAATTAAGCAACTAGTTGCTAACTCTCCACTAAGAGGAAAAGGTAGGAAGGATGGAAGGGAAAAAGATAATCAAAGTGCAAGAGAGATCCCAGCTCCAGACTTCCAACACTGCAATTCAAAATCTTACTTGAGGAACCTCAGAGAGGATTTCTGAACAATTCCAATATTTCCAAAGTCTGGGTAGAACACTTCAACTTCCTTTTTACCAAGGATGCGATGGATAATAACTCGATACCACCACTTATCCTCAGAAATCTTTACACAACAGAGATGTCCTGGCTGGATAAAGTATTCTGGCATGATGTATCGATCAGAAACCAGCTGGTTAGAGTAACAACGCCTGTAGAATACCATAACAGAGAAACCCATAGGGAAGAAAAAGATTAATTTCTATTCAAGCATCAAGAACAAAGTCTTAATAAAGCAAAGAAAAATCTTTTTTTCTGATTTATTAATGCCAGTTTTCTTATTCAAATCATTCATCAATAAACTTCAAAGAGAAAGGATGAAAATTATACACTCATTTTCTTATCTCACATTCTTTGAAGAGTCCAGGTAGATGACTCATGTCTATAATCCTTGCTACTTGGGAAGTAGAGATCTGCCAGATCATAGTTCGAGGCCAACCAAGGACAAAACGTTTGCTGAAACTTGCTTCCCAATCTTAACCAATAAAAAAAGCTAGACATGATGTTGTACATCTGTAACCCCAACATTGCAGAAAACAATAACAGGGGTAACATGGTCTAGGACAGATTGAGTATAAAGGAAGATATTATTGGGGCTGGGAATGTGGTTCAGTGATACAGTGCTTGCCTAGTATGCGTGAAGCCCTGGGTTCAACTCTTCAGTAACACATAAAAAAGGCCAGAAGTGGTGCTGTGGCTCAAGTGGTAGAGTGGTAGCTCTGAGCAAAAGAAGCTCAGGGACAGTGCCTAGGCCCTGAGTAAGTCCTAGGACTGGCAAAACACACACACACTGGGAGTGTGGCTCAAAAGACAGAGTTCCTACAAAGCAAGTATGAAACCCTGAGTTCAAAAGCTTAGTACAACCCCCCGCAAAATAGTCCAACTTCATTCATTAGCACTTTCTAAAATGAACATGTAAAAAAACTTCAATGACCTGCTAATTCCCAAAGCCAAGAGTTTCTCTCTTTAGTCTTCAATATATTTGATCTGTGTTATTCTATCCTTTCAAATTCTCATCTCATTTCCAAGACAAAATTCTCTCCTACTTTTTGTCAGTAATTATTCCTTAAAAAGTTCTTTATTGACTCAAAAACTTGGGTTCCCTACATTTTATCTTTAGGAAATATAACATAAAAGAAGTCAGAAACTCGAGCCTTAGGTTCAGATGCTGACCTAATCATTGACAGGATGTGCTTCAGCTTCCTTGTTGAGTCTGGAGGCAATAGTAAAAACTGTTCAAATGTGTAAAAATTTAAGAACTGAATATAGTAAGCACTCAAGTATTATTGCTGCATATCATCTCATCCATTTTTACATCATCTACTACCAATAATAAATTTATTTTCACTATAGAAAACCTTGCATCCAGGGGCTAGGAATGTGGCTTAGTGGTAGAGTACTTGTCTAGCATGCATGAAGCCCTGGGTTCGATTCCTTAGTACCACATACACAGAAAAAGCCAGAAGTGGTACTGTGTGGTAGAGTGCTAGCCTTGAGCAAGAGAAACTCAGGGACAGTGCCCAGGACCTGAGTTCAAGCCCCAGGGCTGGCAAAAGAAAAGAAAGAAAATCTTGAATCCTAATCTTCAAAACTTGTTTTGGCAGACATGCTAGTGAATACCCAATATCCACTGACTTTTTTCTTAGTAATAAGAAACCCATATTGAACTGAATATATAACCATTCAGAATTCTCAGGATATAGGTGCAGCGATGTGAATACAAAGTTCTAACCAACTGTAACAAAAAAGCGTATATAGTTAATGGCAAATTACTAAAAAAATTAAAAATTTCAGGTTGTGCCTTTCAAAGAAAAGGTATTTCAAATAAAAGGGAATTTTTTCTTCTTCCTACTGTCTAGAAGGAGCCAGTGGGTATGTGGCAAGCCACCCTGAGAACCATGTGGATTGACAGTACATTGTCTATCACTTGGTGATAGCAAACACTTGAGTCCTTAACGTCGTAGAGCTACACATTAGCCTGTATCACTTCTATTGGGGCTACTATGAGAAGAAGAAATAAACTTTTTTTGATGTTACTATGATTATGTCTCTGTAACCATAGTAGCAACAAATAGCTAGACACAATCCTAGAATCACCTATTTGGTGCTGCTTATTTTAGAGGTATCCTGGCTCAAACCTAATCATTCTCTAAGCCAACAATTCTCATAGTCTTTTCTCCCCCCTCCTTTTTTTTTTTTGTCAGTCATGGGGGCTGAACTCTGGGCCTGGGCACTGTCCTTCAGCTCTTCAGCTCAAGGCTAGTGCCCTACCACTTGAGCCACAGCGCCACTTGCGGCTTTTTCTGCTTATGTGGTGCTGAGGAATCAAACCTAGGGCCTCATGCATGCAAGGCACTGAGCCAACTTCCCAGCCCTCTACCTTATTTTTCCCAACTCCATCAGTCACCTATTTTACTTAGCTAATTTCTCTCTAGTTTATCTCTATCTACCAAAAATGGCTATTTAAAAGTAAATTACAATATAGCTAGAGACAAATGTGTAACACTACTTCAAGGATTTTTACCTATCATGGGATTCTCTGGAACATAACTGCTGCAACAGGTGAGGGATCACTGTACAGAGCAAGTCAGAACTCCTTATAGTATTCAGAATTTACCACTACCTAGCCTTCCAGTTTCAAATTCAGTCTGTTCCCAAGTACTCCTGACACTTCCTGCATTTGTTGTTCACAAAGTGCACTACTCCTTTGCTAATAATGCTGGCTTTGCTGCCAGTCCCCAGCCTTGGGTCCTGAACAGGCCCTGAATGTTCACACCTCAACTAACACACTCATTTGTTTTGGAACCTTGCTCAAACTTTTCCTCTGTGAAGCTTTCAAACTTGCCCAGGCAAATCTACTGTGGCCTCCAATATTCCACTTAACCCCTTACCATGTTCACAGAAGCCAATCCATGACTTACAGTGCCAAAAACATCTCAACCTTGAGCAATTATATTATTGAGAACAGCAGTGAACATTTGAGCTAAACTCTTAATTCCCATAACTCTGCAGTAGATACTAGTATTATCCCACTAAGAAGATAAAGAGACTGGATCCAGGGAAGCCAAGTAACTTCAAGGTTACAGAGATGGTAAGTTTGCCTTAAAATGTATTAAATTGCACAAATAAACTGGAGTAAAAATATATAACATAAATTATACATTATATAATATGGTATATACTATATGTTATATATGTATATATTACTGAGTATTATGTAATTAAATTGTGCCCCAAGTTCTTAGGCCTGAATTCAGGACTTTGCATTCTTGTTTAACTTTTTTCACTCAATGCTGACACTCTACCTCTTGCTCTGCTTCCACCTCTAGTTTTTTGTTGTTGTTGTCTGCTGCTTAATTGGAGGTAAGGGTCTCACAGATTTGTCTAGCGTGGCTAGCTCTGAATCCCAATCCTTGAATTTCAGCTTCCTGAATAGCTAGGATTACATGTATGAGCCACTGGAACCCAGCAATAAACTGTTCCTGAATATGATGCAATATAAAACTCAAACATTTTTCCACTGGACACTATGTTGAAAATGAACTACAAACTTGGTAGGATGAAAGGAAAAACTGGGTGAGAACAGGGAAAAGAGTGGTATTTTTCCATAAAGAATGTACTCTTTACCTGACTTACATTAACTGTAACACCTCTGTATATCACCTTTATAGTAACAATAAAAAATTAAAAAATCAGACATTATTTATAAATGCAAAATTCCAGATCTTACATAGTTTTTCAGCATAGAAAAAGAAATGAATAGCAGCAGTTTCTTAAAAGTGTAGCCCATAAACCTCTGGGACCTATATACCTTTCCAATATCAAAACCATTTGCATAGTAGTATCAAAATCTTATTTGTCCTGATTGCACTATTCTGACATTTGCAATGATAGTGTAATACATGAGGGCCAAACTCTAGATGTCTTAGCTAAATCAAAGTGTTAGCATCAAACTTATAGTCACTTACTTGTCACTGACTCACATTCACTGACAACAAAATACAGCCAATGTTACTTTCAATGCTCTTGAAAACCAAGTAAGAGGCTCATGCTGTAATCCTAGCTACTACTGAGAACAGTCTGGGCAAAATGTTTGATAATTCCTTTCTTAAACAATAGCTGGATACAGTAGCACAGGCGTGTCATCCTAGGTAGGTAGGAGGTTGAGATTAAGAGTATATCTGTTCCAATCTAGCCCAGGCCGCACCCCACCCCCTGCAAAAAAAAGTTTTTAAAACTCTATCTCAACAAAAAGAGCTGGGCTTGTAGTACATGCCTGATACTGCAGCTACAGTGGGAAGCACACATTAGAAGATTGTGATCCAGGCCCGTCTGGATAAAAAAGTGATAACCCATCTCAAAAATAACAGCGCAAAGAGGGTTGAATATGTCTAGTGGTAGCGTAGCTTCCTAGCAGGCACAAAGCCCTGAGTTAAAACCCCAGGAGTAAAAACTAAAATGCTTATTAAATCTTACCAAGTGACCAAATTTTCAGTATTCTCTGTGACAAAAATGGAAGTGCACATACTTTCTAAATTATCTCAAGTCACGAGATAAGCCAGTCATGATCTAAACTAACCTTTCCTTTTGGATAAGGGAGAATAATTTTAGTTGGAAGATTGCTAGCCACCTTTTCTTTTTCTTTAATGGAACAGCAGTTTTGCTCAAAGGAACCACTAACAAACTATGATAATTCAGAATAAGGTATTTGACACACTCTTTAAGTGAGCCTTGTTATCAACAAGTAAATTCAAACCTTCAAATCAAAATCCAGATTTTGGAATGTCCTAATTACCATGGGCTATAGATTCCCAAAAGCTCAGGAAATAAGTGTCTTGTTTTAATAATGTGTGTCAACATTTGGAAAATCTGCATAATTCAATAATGTAGTATTTACAAACGACCAATGCATAATGTTATAAAATTACACATGGATCAACATTTATTCAGAACTGGTTTCATTTGAGCCTATACTCAAGTAGACTCTTAGATTGTTTAAATGCTCTGTTATTGCCACATTAAAAAAATCTTAATTTAATGATGTGTGGCTCATTACTAGCGCGTGAACTCAGGGCCTTGCACTCTTGCTTGGCTTTTTTACATAGGGGCCTACCACTTGACTTATGCTTCTGGATTTTGCTGGCTAACTGGATAAAGGTCTCTTGGATTTGTCTGCCTGTATGATTTCAAACTGCTATTCTTATATCTCAGTCTCCTGAATAATTAGGACTAAAGGCATGAGCTACCAGCACCCTACTTATACTTTAAGCTCAAGTTTTAAGAGTCTCAGACTTTCCTGCCCAGTTTGGCTTCAAACCATGGACCTCAGATCTTAAGCCTCTTCAGTGGCTAGGATTACAATCATGATCCACAGGTGTCAGGCTAGTAAACAGTTAAGTTTAAAATTTCACATGACTGTTTGCAGCATGATGATTGTGCAGCACCTGCTCCACCAGGATGCAGATCATCCCTTTATCCATGCTATACATTCTGTGATAATTTATGAATTAGTTATTAAAGGTATGTGTACTTTAGAAACAATATTATTTATACAAAGGGTTTTGTTTAATCCACAACTTAAGGTACTTGTTAAAGGTCTTGAAACATATCCCCTGCTAAGAATATGGGGGACTATTTTATCTCAATGATTGTATGGTCGGATTGGAAAAATGTTATTTTTTTCTTAAAGGTACATTATTTATAATAACACATATAGGTTCTTTTTTGAAATCTGCAGCCTCAATTTCTGCATAATAAATATCAATAAGCAAAAGATTTCTTGAATCTTGTCATTTTTTAAGATTCAGAGATTGATTAGTGATACATAGAAAAACATATTGAAAAAAACAAGACTCCTACCGCATTTCAATCATCATGTCCTCAAGTAACTCTGATGAATCTCTGCTATAGATTCGAATGTAGAATTGACTAGGAGAAACAATATATTCCACAAAGACTCCTACAAGAGTGCTGGTATCCAGTGGGGGAAGTTTGCATAATTTCTTTTCCCGGGAAGCATCTGGTGGAATATCATGATTTGCGATTGCCAAGTTGAGCTGTGATTTGTCTGCTTCTACTTGCTATCATTTAAAGAAAAAGAATAAATTATATCTTAGGGTGACAGTCAAACCTTGTCCCATTTTTAAAGGTACTTAATGCCTTTATTAAAATTATTTGAAGTTATAAAAATGCAAATTCTTGTACTCAGAACAGATTTATTGATTCAGAATACTTGAGAATGGAGCTTATACATTTAAAAACTTCACAAAGTAATTCTTGCTCATTTGCTTTATGTCCTAAGAGAACATGTTCAATGCAAAATTGACAACACGATTCTTCAAATAACCAGACTGAATAAGGAGGATTGCCATCCTAACCCGCCCTATCAATAGTCAAATAATTTCCTTTATGCCTTCCTTGTATCCTCCAAAAAATATGTCAGGCTCTCAAATATGTTTTCATTCCATGAAAAAAAGCTAACTTCAGTGAAGAACAATGTACAATGAACTCCTTAGCAACAACAAAACAATGAGAAATGAAAACACTAAAAGGACAGATGGAAAGATGAGGAGAAAAATTTAAAGGAGCAAATAAATAACAGGATGGGTATACCAAGGCAATTGCAAATGTTGTGGCATAGAGACAAAACAGAGCTCCTCCACTCTCCCTTCTACAACTGAGGGGTTTCAAGCTTCCACTTTCTAACACATGGATACTGAATCAGCGATGTTATCAGGACCTAATTCTCAGATCTCAAAATCATCTGGACACTTCAAAATGAGGTAGGAGGGAAAGCTACTGACATAAAAAATTGAAAACTAGAAGAAACCTCATATAAGATGACTTTGAACAAAATGAGACCATTAATTATTAGAAATGATCTACCTAAAAATAATATTTTCCTTAGAGAAATTTTAGTTTAAAATTTAGTTACTTTCTGCACTGATAAATCTCTAGCACATCAAGACTTTAAACTTCACTCACCAGCTGTAAAGGCTTTACCACCAGATTAGGCTTCTTGCAAATCTTCTGTTCTGGGTCTTTACAAGTTTTCAAGAGGCCATCCCATGTAGTCTCCTTTACAGCAGCAGTAGACAGTGAATTTCTAGGGGGACTGGAGACCCAACCTTTGGCTTCTACTTTCTTAGTTGGTTGAACTAGCCATGGGTTTTTAACTGATGAAATAGTGGTATCTGAAATGGCCAACAAAGCAGCCTATGCATATTTATTAGAGTAATGGTAGAACAATTACTAAGCCCTTCTATGTGCCAGGCACTAGAGAGACAACAAGAAATGAGGAATGTTAACCTGTCCTTACAGATCTTTCAATATGGACAGATTCAAGGGATGTTCAATATAAGAATCCTAAAAGTTTTCTACTGAGGCATGGAAGCTTACAATCTGGGAAGACTTCTAAAATTCTAGTTAAATGCCTTTTTCAACACACAGATTTTGATTAATATTCTGTTCCAGTTAAGAAATGTACAATGTATGTTATTTAATAGTCCATAATGTAATGCCTTATAATTAGAAATCAACCACACACTTTTTTTAATTTACATATGTGTGATACCTATAGACCTGTGACCACAGTGGGTCCTAAAGAAATTAACTCATAAGAGTTTATTTCCTATAAAGAGTAGGTCCAAAAATATTTATCACAGGGCTATAGCTCAGTGGTAGAGTGCTTGCTCCATCTCTCAGGCCTTGAGTTTGATTTCCAGTACTCCTCCCCAAATAAATACCATTTATAATTATATTTTTGTAATGGTGAAATGGAAACAATCGAAATAGTCAACAGGCTAAATGGATTATAGTATGGTTACATAAAAGAATTACAAGCCATGTATGCAGGCTCTTGCCTATGATACTATAGTACTACTTGGGAGGCAGAGATTGGGAGGATTGTGGTACAAAGCCAGCCTGGGCAAAAGTTAACCAAGACTTTATCTTAAAATAAGATCATCGTGTAGGTTGGCCTGGGTAAAGAACAAGGTCTCGCGAGAGTGAGAAAGAGAGCAAGAGAGAGAGAGAGACAGAGACAGAGAGACGGGGGGAGGGGGGGAGAGGAGAGAAAGAGAGAGGAGAGGTAGAAGAGGGGGAGAGAGAGAGAGAAAGAGAGGCTAGAAGTATAGCTCTAGTGATAGAGTGCCTACCAGCAAACCCTGAGTTCAAACTTCCCCCTCTACTCAAAAAAAGGAAATAGCTAAACAGTATTTATATAATATTTCTTTGAGCTGGGTTCTGGTGGCTCATACCTGTAATCCTAGCTATTAGGAGGCTGAGATCTAAGGATTATAGTTTTAAGCCAGCCCAGGCAAGAAAACTCTGTGACTCATATCTCTAATAAACTACTCAAAAAACCAAGAAGTGGCACTGTGGCTCAAGTGGTAGAGTACACGCCTTGAGCAAAAAAGGTCAGGGATAGTGTCCAGGCCCAGAGTTTCAGCCCCAGAACCAGCAAAAAAAAAAAAAAAAGTATACATGTGGTGGTAATTATACTACATAGAAGAGGTCCACAAATATACATACTATTCACATTATTACTTCTATAGTGTTAGAATGGTTTTGAATAAGCTTTTGTGGTTTAGAAAAATTTATGTTTATACATACATTGAAAAATATCTGGAAGCTATCTAAAATTCTAAGCACCATTTCTAGGTCACCTAAAATGGTAAATTTTCATTTTGTACTCATCTATATTTATTTTTAAATTTTTTAAATTTTTAATTTTTAAATTTAAAAATTTTAAATTAACATGAGTTTTAGATCAGAAAAATCAATAACAATCTTTATACTTTGGAAAAGTAACTGTGCATTATTGCCACTTGTATATGACTGTAAAGAGTATCATTTTCTGAGCCGGGTGCTGGTGGCTCACGCCTGTAATCCTAGCTACTCAGGAGGCCGAGAGCTGAGGATGGCAGTTCAAAGCCAGCCCGGGCAGGAAAGTCCGTGAGACTCTTATCTCCAATAAACCACTAGAAAACCAGAAGTGGCATCATGGCTCAAGAAGTAGAGCATCATTGATGCAGTCGCATCATTTTCTATGCTTTGCAAAGTGTCGCATTTAGCAAACAGAGTTAAAAGTGCATGGGAGAAATCTGTATTATTTCTCATAACTGCATAAAATACATTTATCTTGATAAAAATTATTAAAACCAAACCAAAAATCAAACAAAAAACAGGAAATCAATATGGTGACTTGAGTATATATAAAACCAGAAAAAAGACATCAATGGAAAAATTGGTTAACATAAAAATAAAGTTTGAAGTTTGCCAAATATATCCTGGGAATATACTAGTAGTAGGGAAACTGAAAAAAAGCTATGTGGAACTGTGTACTATTTTTGCCAATTTTCCATAAACATTTATAAAAAAATATAAGTATTGAGTCCTAATACTTACCTAGTATGTATTCTGATTCTCCATGTATCTGTAAAAAAAACTTTTGATATATAATTAAGAGCTACTGAACTACCTTTGTACTATTGATGTATGCTAACTAAAAAAATAAATGAATAAAAATGACCTATTGAACATTTTTTTCTATCACACTAACCAATTCAGAAAAATTTCTCCAGAATTACCAAAAAATTTTAATTTCAAAGCCAGGTACCAGTGGCTCACACCTGTAATCCTGTCTACTCAGGGAGGCTGAGATCTGAGGCTTGTGGTTCAAAGCCAGCCCTGGCCAGAGAAGTCCCTCAGACTCTTATCTCCAATTTATCACAGAAACAGCCAGAAGTGGTGCTGTAGTTCAAATGGTGGAGCGCTAGCCTTAAGCAAAAGGAGCTTAGGGACAGTACCTAGGTCCAGAGTTCAAGGCCTGGGACTGGGGAAGAAATTAATTTCAAATTGATTTACAAAAATATGGGCTAACCTTGCAACAAATATTTCCAAAAAAGGAGGTTATTATTTTCAAAACATGCCATGCTAATATGTGAAGTATTTGAGTTGATGTACTATGACGACTCTTCCTTCACTAATGATTTCTCTTTCTGTGTTTAGAAGGACAATTAAGAGTGAGGGAAGGGGTGACACTGTCCAAAAAGAAATGTGTAATTTACTTATGTAACTGTAACCTCTCTGTACATCACCTTTATAATAATACAATTTCTAAAGGACAATTACGTGTGGGGTTTCATTAATGTGGTTCAACTCACCAGGCTGTACCGGCCTCATCTCAGCATCAAACACCAGCAAGTCTTGTTCTCCTTCCCTAAACTCAACACGAAGAATGTCACTAAGAGCTCCAACAAGTTCTGTTATGTTTAAGAAGCCCAATTTCTTTGGTGAAAGCTGTTCTTTAAAAACTATCTGTCACAAAAAAATTAAATGAAAATATGTAACAGAAATAGATAACATATGCAGATGCCTTTGGACAATGCTTAAATTTGGATTTTGTCAAGCTAAAAGTCAATGGGTCAGTAAACAGAATTGTAAAGGTTTGTTTCAATATCAGGCTCTTATAAACTAAGAGACTAACACTTTTCATCATGTAACTTCTAGGTGAAGTCCCATTTTCCCACATTTTTATTTGTCTGAGTTTTAAAAGGAGTTTCGTTATTATAATGTACCTTTGGTCAGACATCTCTCCCAATCTCAATAAGCTTGACTATCCCATTTTCACACACGTACATAAAGTATTTTGACCATCACACTCCTTCACCCTGTTTGTCCTCCTCACTTCTAGTATCTGCACCCCCGACTGGACATGTTTTACATCCCTGTTACTTTTTAAAATGTATCTTAATTGTTCAAAGAGGTCTTACCCTACCAGTTCACACAAGCCTTATGCTATAATCAGATTAACTCTTAGCTTACTCTCACTTTCCCCATATCTACTACCCCATTAACAAATTTCAGTATTTTATTTATTCCTCATTCACAAATGCAGTGTATTTTAGTACTATTTACCCTCTAATCCCCTAAGTCTCACAACTACAAATGTTCAGTGTTTGTAATATGTATATATTCACTCCTGTATGTATTTACATCTCTCTCTCAGGTTTAGCTTCTACATTTGAGAAAACATGCTACCTTTGTCATCCTAAGCCCGCTACTTCACTTAATACAGTCGTTTTCAGATCTATCCACTTCCCTGCAAGTATTTATTATGGCTGAATAATATCTAATTGTGTTAATACATACTTTCTTGATCCATTCATCAGTTAGTTGTAGGGCATGTAGGCTGTTTCTACAGTTTGACTATTGTGAATAGTGCTGCAAGTACCAGTCTTGTATCCTGACTCTGGTTCCTTTGGATATATGCCTTACATCATATGGTATCCCTGCATCATAATGTAGATCTATTCTAGGTTTTTGAGGAGCTAATTACACTAATTTACATTCCCAACAACAATGTATAAGGATTTTTTTCTTCCATACCTTCTCAGCATTTACATTCTTGATTGCCATGCTGACCGGAGTAAGATGAAATTTGTGTGTTTTTTTTTGTTTTTTTCTTTTTCTTTTTTACAATTACATGGGCAAGATAATGAGTACATTTCTTATCAAGCATTGTAGCCTTCTCCTTTGTTTTGATTTTATTTCCTTTATGGCCAAGATACTGAACATTTCAAGTGTTTCTTAGACATCTTTACTTCAAGAACTGATTGTTCTGTTCATCTGCACATTTATTAGTTGAGTTAGTCTTTGGGAATGGGGTTTTTGAGCTCCTTGTTTGTTATGGGTATAAATCTCTGGTCAGATGTATAGCTGGTAAACACGTTCTCACATTCTATAAGCTATCCCTTCAGTCTAGTGACTATCCCTTTTTTTCTAATTGTAACCAAAAGTTTATTGATTTTACTAGTACATAGCAAATAAATGAATCATCAAGGATCAAAATTATACTTTAGAAACAAATACTGCCCAGATTTACAGAGAAATTAGATTAAGATTAGAGAGAGTAACATCCTCATATTGAGTTTCTTGATAAAACCAGCTATGATTTTAACATAAACATTTAAATGATTATTCAAGGATTAAAAATCTTTGATCACTTGATCCTGTTAAAAGTTTAAAAGCAGCACTGGAAAGTTTCTTCCACTTAATTTGAGTATTTCTATTAACAGTTGAGAGATTGGCTTGATCTGGTTTAATAAACAGAACACGGACCAAGATTAGATCTTCTCCAGCGAGAAAAGAATACAGAATGACTTAGTATACAAAGGACTAATATACAGAGGGAAAAAAATACAGAATGATTTAGTATAGAAAAGTCTATATAGGGTTGGAGGAACGGTACAGTTGGTAGAGAAGGCTTTAACACTCCCCTTTTAGCTATTTAAGTCTATAACTGCCCATAACCATCTCAGAAATGTTTTACCTAGGCTGTTGGAGGAAAGCTATGGCTCGAAAGCCAATGTCCCTTCTATAAACTACTCCCTCAAACTTTTATCACAGTGAGTCCCTTCTTGGCTTCTTCCAGGGCCAGTAGATTTCCCAGATGGCTGTCACTGGAAGGACTATGCCCCCACTGGTCACCATTTTGCCATCCTTAAGAGCAGTGCCAGCATGGAACACCTTTAGTCCTAAGGCTTGACCCTCAGAAAACCCTGTTATCTCTTCACCCTTGGTATAGGCTCCAGAATGACCTTTACTTGCCATGACAACCATTATGGCAGTATGGCTTTCTAGCCAAATGGGTAGAGATGCACTCAGTTGGCCATCTAGGAAGGACTGAATCACTTCATAAAGATCACTCTTAAGAAGTGGATTACTTGGCACTCTGGATCACCAAAACAGCAATTAAATTCCAGAACTTTTGGGCCATCCTTGGTCAGCATTATGCCAGCATAGAGAATTCTTCTTTATGGCGTACCCTCTTGCTGCATGCCTTCTACTACCCTCTGAAGAACAGTGTTCTTAACTTCCAGTAACAATCCTTAAGACAGATACTTCTCCTTCAAGAAGTTCTTCAATGACAATTGTACTCCTGCAGAGGTCAGGTCTCCAACAATTCCAGCAGCCAGAAGTGCCTCTGGTCCAACAACTACAAATTCAATGTTCTTGTCTTTGCAGAATTGAGCAAGGGCAGTGTGATCACTGATGGGGAGAGCAGTATTTGAATTCTTTTCAGAGCAGGCAGTGCCTGCATTTCCTGGGGCAACCAACACTTGTTTGACATGATCAGACTGTGCAGGTTTCCAGGCCAATGTATGCTCCCTTCTGCCACTGCCAATTACAAGTACTTGGTCTGTCATTGCTTCCTGCAAAGTTGGAATTTAAAAGGAAAACAAATCGTGTCCCGCAGACACGCTGCTTGTATTCGCTGGCCGGAAGTCAGACTATCCCTTTACTGTAAAGATTTTTAGCTTGATGTAATCCAATTTATCAATCTTTGCTTTTATTTGCAAACCTACTGGAGTTCTAGTCAGGAAGTTGTTGCCTTATGTCAATATGTTCCAGTGTTTTCTCTATTCTTTCCTGTAGCACCTTCAAAGGTTTCAGGTCTTATATTAATATGATCTAATTTGAATTGATATTAACATAGGGCAGCAGATAGGGATCGGCCTCCTACAGGTAGATATTTTTCCAGCACAGTTTGTTGAGGAGACTGTTTACTACAACTTACATTTTGGGTCCCTTGGTCAAAACTCAAATGGCTATGGCTGTGTATGTTTCTGATTTTTCTGTTTCATCTGCCCTTATGTCTGTTAGTACAAGCATTATGTTTTTATTTTTTTTACTATGGTTTTGCAGTATTATTTCAAGTCTGGTATTGTGATACTTTCAACATGGCTTTTTTATGCTCAAGATTGCTTTGGTTATTTGAGATCTTTTAGGATTGCTTTTGCTATTTCTGTAAAGTAATATGAGGATTTGTATGAGGATTGTACTAAATCTTTACATTGCTATCAATAGTACAGCCATTTTCATATTAATTCTGCCAGCTCATGAGCATGGGAGGTCTTTCCATCTTGTTTCTTCACTTTCTTCAAGGTTTTATGTTTTTATTGTAGAGGTCTTTCACCTCTTTGAATTTATCCCTATTGTTTTGAGGACACTGTAAGTGGAAATGTTCTCATTTCTTTCTCAGTATATTCACTGAAGGTATTCAGAAAAACTGATTTTTGTACCTTGGTTTTGTATCCTATGTTGTCTAAAGTGTTTATCAGATCTAAGAGTTTGGGAGTGGGATCTTTAGGATTTTCCTTTTTTGGGGGGGGGTCCAGTCGTGGGGCCTGAACTCTGGGCCTGGGTGCTGTCCCTCAGCTCTTCAGCTCCAGGCTAGCGCTCTACCACTTGCGCCACAGAGCCACTTCCAGCTTTTTTTCTTTTTGCTTATGTGGTGCTGAGGAATCGAACCCAGGGCCTCATGCATGCAAGGCAAGTGCTCTAACACTGAGCCACCTTACCAGCCCCTTTAGGATTTTTTAAGTACAGAATATCATCTGACTTCTTCCTTTCCTATTTGGATCCTTTGTATTTCTTTCTCTGACTCATAATTCCAGGACTAGATTGAATAGTATGTAGAAACCCTTGTCTCATTCTCATTCCTGATTTCAGAGGAAATGATTTTGGTTTTTCCACATTTAAAGTGATATTGGCTACCATTCTGTCATGTATACCCTTAATTATGTAGAGGTACATTCCTTCTATTGCTAGCTCTAAAGCTCTCAGCATTAAACAATGTTCAACTTTGTCAAAGTTTTTTTTTCCTGCATCAACTGAGATGATTCTTGTCTTCAATTATGTTTATATACATATTACATTTTTTGATTTAGGTATACTGAATCAACCTATTATACCTGGAACGAATCCAACTTGATGATGGATATTGCCTTTTTTCATGTGGTATTGAATTCAGTTTGCAAGTATGTTATTGAGAATCTTTGAGACTGTGTTCATCAGAGATTGGTCTTTTTGCTGTGTCCTTATCTGGTGTTGGAATAAGTGTAATGCTGGATCTATAAAAATGGCTTTGATAGTATTCCTTTCCTATTTGTATCCTTATTATTTCTTTCTCTTGCTTTATTGCTCTGATGAGGAATTCCAGCACTGGATTGTTTTCTTGATGATTTACCATTCTGACTGATTATAGTTTTGATTTCTATTTCCTTTATGGCTAAAGATGTTGAAGCTTTCTTCATGTGTTGATTGGCCATTTGTGTTGCTTCATTTAGGTGATACTACGGTTTGAACTCACAGCACTGTGCTTGCTAGGCAAGTACTCTACCACTTGAGCTATGCCCTCAAGACCTTTTTGCTTGATTTTTCCAAGAGTCTCACTTTTTGCACTGGCTAACCTCAAACCAAGATCCTCCTATATCTATAGTCTCCATGTAGTTGAGATCACAGGCATACCACAGGCTAGGTATGGTGGCATGTGCCTGTAATCTTATCTGTGCAGGTGTCATAGATGTAAGTGTAGGTAAGCCCAGGCCAAAAAAAACTGAGGCCCTATTTGGAAAATAACCTAAAGCAAAAAGGTTGGAGGGTATGGTTCAAATGGTAAAGTACCACCCTACCAAGTACAAGACAAAGTTCAAACCTCAGTACTAAAAAAAAAAAATCTTTTATGACAATGATGTTAGAACAGGAAGTGGCAAGAATATCCTTTCCATGTTCAATCAAGTATCAGTATGGATATTCTCAATTTTTACAATAACAAAAAACATTAAAATGCAAAACAAGATGTTTAAGTGTTGAGAAAGAGACTCACAGAGGAGGGGGGAGGAGGAGGGAAGAGAAAGGAAGAAGGAAGGGGGAGAAGAGAGGGGAAGGAGTTGAGAAGGGGGAAGTGGGGGAGGAGGGTGAGAAGCAGGGGGGAGGGGAAGAGGAGGAGGGCACCATAAAAAAATTCAAAGTTGGAAGAGAAGAAAGGTGTGACAGGGTCCAAGAGGAGGAGGAGGAGGAAAGCACCATAAAAAGATTCATAGTTGAAAGAGAAGGAAGAGGTGACAGGGTCCAAAAGAGAAATGCAGGCATTAGCTGAATTGTGAAATGGTAACCCCTCTGTACACCTTAATAATAACAAAGAAAATTATAGTTGAAAAATCCAGGGTTGTTAAAACATTTACCTCAAACTCTCCAAGCAGTTTAGAAATAAACAAACCCTCTGGAAATTTAGCCACAACCTAATAAATAGAAAACAAAAATAATTACATACAATAGGAATGCTAGGAGACAAAATGTTTTTTAAAAAGCATAAACTTAAATAATAATAATAGCAAAAATTCATTTATCCACAATAGAGAATAGTAAAAAATGTATGTTAACAGTCATATTCAATCAGTTTTATAAAACTTTATAATACCACGGCTGACAAGCACTGAGGCCCTGGGTTCGATTCCTCAGCAGCACATAAGCAGAAAAAGCTGCAAGTGGCACTGTTGCTCAGGTGGTAGAGTGCTAGTCTTGAGCTGAAGAGCTGAGGGACAGTGCTCAGGCCCAGAGTTCAGGCCCCATAACCGACAACAACAACAAAAAAGACTTTATAATACCAATAGTGATTTCCACCATTCCCAGAGCCAAGAATTTTACAATATTGTAATGCTACAGTTCCCAGAAAGCGCTACAGATTTAGCTTTAACTCATATAATAGATAATATTTTACTGTGCAATTTTAAGCATTTTAATTATCAGAAAAAAACGCAATGGACACCATGTACAATTTCATATCATTAAGCAAAACTATAGCCATTATCATCTATATGTAGATATAAATGTAGATATGTATATATAAGAATATATACATTTAATATGGAGATAAGGTCAGTACATATCCATAAATACAGATAAACAGATAAGGGCTAAAAACTCTTCAAAACAACCATTTAAATTTATTTCTTTGATCCTATATGGCTGTTATTTTTCAGCCTAAGTATTGCAATGAATGTCTTCATATTGGCATTTGTACTAATGATTTTTTTTAGGACAGGTCCCTAAAATTGCTCTATCCTAATAAAGTACGGAAAGCTTTGTGTTTTTTCCAGCTTTTTCTAGGTATTGTTTATACAACACTCTAATTCAACCGTTAGAGAAGAGATATAAAGTAAAAATTTCAAAACCCTGTGACTTAGAGACAGCCAGTGCTGTACTTCAGAAAGCTTCCTTGCAGAATGCACACACATGGCTCACCTTCCCCCTGACTTTGATGAAAAGACAACACTAAACAAGGTATTCTATGAAACCCAGGTTTTAGGAGTTCAACAATCTGTAAAAGAGATACTCCTATGTAATCTAATAGAGACATATATAAACTTTCTTACAAGCCACACCAATTCTTTACCCATCAATACTTAATTTTCATGTTTTTATATCATAAAAAATCATAGTAATTATAAAAACAAATAGGAGAGCCTGTATGCACCCGAGCTTTGTTTCTCACAGCAAGTCCTGCAGAGGAAATGGGATGATATAAGGCTGTAACAACATCTAGATTACTCAAATCAGAATAGTCCTACCAAAACCATAAATGTACATATCCTTTAGCCCAACACTTAACAGCCAAATAGCATTACACAGCAAGACAACAAACAAGGCAAAACACATAAATAGGGAAATCACACTGAAAAATGTAAGTGACTATTAAGCATTATCAAAATACTTAATGTAAAAAAAAAAATCAACCCTGGATGGTGAGACACTTCACTGCCAGTGGAACTGTAAATTTCCTCAAATCTTTTGGATGGCAATACAGCAGTATTTATCATCAAAACATCCAAAGCCTCTGACTGGAAATCCATACTACAAAAAGGTTCAAGGATATTAACTGTAGCACTTTTTACATAGCTAAGCACAAAATCAATCAAAACTCAATCATACATGAAACATGACATAAATGTAAAGAAATACTGCACACCACTGAAATGAGATTTGATGTATAGGGATATAAAATTAGAATTGAAAGGATCCTGGATTGTTTGCCAATTATTTAAAGGGGATAAGGGTAGGAAGAGAGGAAGTAAGAGCATTTACAGAAGAATTTATATTTTCAATTTTACATTTCAAAATGTTACAAGTATTTCATGTATTAATTTTTCGAATTTTAAAAGCTACTCCATTTGCAATATATTATGAAGGTCAGGTATAAACATAAAATGAGGCAAATTAAAACTCAGGCATTGAAAAAACTTACAAATTTTATCTTATGTTTTAGTTCTGGATTGATAGTCCCTCCAGGTCCAATTTGTGCAATAACTGATTTGAATGTGTTCTCCAACTGTGAACAAAAGAAGAAAATGCCAAATCATATCTTTCCTCATCCAAAAGTTAAAGATAAATCTAAACAGTCCCAAAAGATATCTAAAAGGAAATGTATTTTAGTTAAATATATTTTAAGAAATGACAATGTAATATTTCATGCCATATAAAATAGGTATATGGAATTTTCTAGGATAACATTCTTTATAAAACATTCTAGAATCCTTCAGTTAATCAATCCCATACTTACCTAGAAGAAAGTTTTTAAAACTAATTTACTTAAAACTGTATTCAGATGTATGTGCATGCATGTGCATGCACCAGTCCTGAGTCTTGAATTCAGGGCCTAGGCTCAGTCCCTGAGTTGCTTTTACTCAAGGCTAACACTCTACCATTTGAGCCAGAGAACTCCACTTCTTGCTTTTTAAATTTTTTTTTCAAGCAGGTAGAAAACTCGTTTATTAACAGAGAGCAGCCCTTTCTAAAGTGGGGGGGGGGAGGGTGGCATGGCAGGGGAGGAAGAGGAACCAATCACTGTCAAAGTCACACCCTATCATGCACCTAAGCTTTCACGGGCTGGTTACGCACTGATCGTAAGGCAAATGTTTTAAAATTTTTTTGTTTATTGAAGATATGGAGTCTAGGGACGTTCCTGCCTGTGCTGGCTTTGAACCTTGATCTTCAGATCTCAGCCTCCTGAGTAGCTAGGATTACAGGTGTGAGCCACTGGCACTCAGCAATATTCAGATGTTTAACTGAACTCCCTAATGCTGGGCAGTTAAATACAGAAAAGTCCTAACCAAGATCTTGGGCAACTATTATTTTGTAAGAAATCACTTTATTAGTTATAATTGACATAGAAGGACTATTGGAGCATTGCTCAAGTACACAGCATTTATCTAACACAAGGCCCTGAGTTCATGGAGAATGGTAATGCACTCATTTACCACAAACAAATCAACAGGTTTTCCTAAGTATATGGCTCTGTAATTAAGCATCAATACAGTTGTGATGTAGAGGATGTCCATCGTTCCAATAAGGTTTTTCAGTGTTTTGCTTTTTTTGCAGCAGCAGCTAACTAGTCTTTGCCCTGGGAAGACAGTGACTTATTTATAAGAGTTTTTTTTTCTTTTCTACCATTCCATGTAAATGGAATTAACAGTTAACATACAATAGAAAAAAAAATCCAGCAGGAAGCACAGGTGATTGTGATGAGAAACCTAGCATGGAGCATATCCATGCTGCAGGCCAAGGGAAGAGCTACGGCAGTGGCACACTGCTCAGTGTAGAGAGCACAGAACCATGTTCACTCAAGTCATTAAAGCTACAACTTCAAATTGAGCTCTTTAATGATAAAAAGTCACAAAGCCATAAAGGAAAACACAAGCTATTTGAAATCCTATCACCTAGACACAATCAATATGAATATTTTTTTCCTGCTGAACATTTTTTTTTTGTCTGTCATGGGGCTTGAATTTAGGGCCTACGTATTGTCTGTTTTTTTTTTTTTTGCTTAAGGCTAGAGCTCCACCACTTTGAGCCACAGCATCACTGCTGGTTTTCTGATGGTTAATTGGAGAGAAGAGTCTCATGGGCTTTCCTGGTCAGCCAGGCATTGAACCATGATCCTCAGATCTCAGCCTCCTGAGTAGCTAGGATTACAGGTGTGAGCCACCAGCACTCAGCTCTGAACTTTTTTAAAATAGTCTTTTCACTTGACCTGTCAAAATTACAATCTTTTGGTCTCTGCTTCCCAGTCTCTCACAGGGTGGTGTGAAAACTAAATAAGGTAAGCAACCAGTATAGGGTGTGCATTCAGTATGACCCTGTCCTGCTTCTTCCAGCATGGCAGTCTTTACCCTAACGGCATTTGCTAAAAGATTGTGGGTGGGAAGACAGCTGTAATTATAGAGGGAAGAGCTATAACTATGGAACAAAAATTGGGAGGTCGTCAATGACTGATATGACCAAGTGATCAAAAGGCAACCCTGATTTCAACAATGCTTTCATATTTATAGATGCCTACCGATTAAACACAAAGGATGGTCAATCAAGTTAATGAGACAGAATAAAATGGAAAATGAAAATATAAAGTAGCTAAGAAAATGATATATTCAGAATAGGAGCCTATAGAACTAAAGAAGAAATGTGAATACATCAGAGCTGGAGGTATAGCTCCACAGTATGGACAGCCAATTTAGTAGGCATGAAACCTTGACTTTAAAGCCTCAGTTCTACACACACACACACACACCCTATCCAAGAATAGCAATTTTTTTTAAATCACATAATAAAAGTCTGCAATTCAACCTCCAATAAATACGTATTAGTAAGATACTTATAAGATACTTGTTTACTAAATAATACTAATCAATTATATGTACAGAGCATACTCTATGTGATTCTCATTGCAATGAATGCTGGATATACAGGGGTAAATAAACTTTCAAAGCAATTCAGTATTTTCTAGAAATATGCCAGATACCTGCGTGGTCCTAATGTTTATGACCCTCTCTTAAATCCTTATGCAGAAGTCCTGTCACTTTTTGGGAGGTGATTAGGTCTTAAAGGCCCTTACGAAAGAAACCCTAGGGTCATTTACACATATTACATGACCAAGATGATTAATGTAAATACAAGAGTGAAACACCTGTGCTGGGAATGTGGCTTAGTGGTACAGTTCTTGCCTACCATGCATGAAGCCCTGGATTCTATTTCTCAGTACCACATAAACAGAAAAAGACAAAGTGGCGCTGTGGATCAAGTTGTAGAGTGCCAGCCTCAGGCAAACAGAAGCTCAGCGACAGTACCCAGGCCCTGAGTTCAAGACCCAAGACTGGCAAAATAAAGAGTAAAATACTATAGTTAGATCCGGTGAACAATTATGAGACAGCTAACAGAATGGAGGGAAATCAAGAAGCCAAACCATGTTTTAAAGGAGGAAGGCTAGTGGGAGAATGGAAAAAGGAATATTGACAAGTACAGACATAATACATATACATTTATGAACAAGGAAGTGTGAAGCTGGATGTGACTGAAGGGGTAGTGGCAGAGGGAGAGAGCAGGAGGAGGATGGAACGGGTGATTCTGATCAAGATGCACAATGCACATAAGTGGACATGTTCAATTGTATTCCCCTGTATAGCCATTTGAAGATAAAAAATGAAACTGTTAAAATGCATTACATTTTCTTAAAGAAACACATAGAAACTTTTACATGTTCACTGTATGAAGATATAATGAAAAGACTTCCACTCGAGAAGGAAGCAGTCCCTCACTGGAAATATCTGCCAGTACCTTAAATGTGGATGTCCCAGACTTCAAAAGCTGAGATCTGATGTTCACGGTGCAAAGCCCACCCAAACTGGCTATCCTAGAGTGAAAGCTAAAATACAGCACCTAGAGCCTGAGTTGTTCATGCCTCAGGACACACACACACACACACACAGAGTTCGGTGCAAACTAAGATCGGCCCTTACATTCATTTAAGATCTAGCCTTGAAAGAGGCATTCTTTTCTAAAGCTGAATTTGCTACTTTAAATCTCATGACAAATGTTAAACCCAGGATCCACACAAGTCAAGCAAACATTTTTACCATTGAAATTAACCCCAACCCCCAACCCACTTAATCAGAGAAAATGTTTCCACAAAGAAAACTCTGGGTCACGTTTGCCTCACTGATGAAATCTGTGAAATATTTAAGGGGAACTAATGTCATATGAACTTACAGAGTAAATAACTAAAAAGAACTTCTCTCATGAAGTCTGTATTATCATTCCAAAACCAATAAAGATACCGTAAGAAAACTACAGAATGATATACTTTATGAATACAAACACAAAGATACTTAAAAGTTAGTAAATTGAATGCAATATATAAAAAAGGCTAAAACATGACCAAGTACAATTCATCCATCAAAGAAGAAAGAAGTTTAATAACATATATTCAAATCTTTGCTCTGCAAACTATGAAACACTGCTAATATAATTTAAAGACGTAATAAATGTGCCATGCTCTTCAATCAGTTGACACTATCATCGTGGTATCACTTTCCCCAGAACTTGTCAATACATCCAGTGAATATTTTGTTACGGCATTACCTCATTACATAGTCACACTGCCCTCTTCACACTTGCCTTGTAGCTGAGGCTGGCATCAAATCCATGATCCTATCTCTACCCTCCCTAGTGTGCTACCACATCCAGCTTATCTTCATTCTAGTCTAATAAAATGACAACCTAGTTTTCTACATGAACAAACAGATTTAAACAGTTATTTCAAAGATCACATAAAATAGCAAATATACATATGAAAAGATGTCTACCACCTATTAAATTATCTAGCTAAAAAATGAAATGGTATAAAACTTCATACCCACTCAAATAGCTAATATTTTGAAAACTGACAAAAACAAATCTTAAGATGAGCAACTAAAATGTGAATGTTTGGAATATAGCTATTTCTTATAAACAAGTACATACTATATGAGCCAGTAACCCAACTCCTAAGGGTTTATCCAAGGGAAGTTTATGTTCATACAGGTGGTATGCGAATATTCATAAAGCTTATTTATAATAACCCCAAACAGGAAACAAATATAATGAGGAATAAATAACAAACAGGAATATCAGTATAATGGAATAAAACTTGAAGTGAAAAAGGAACAATTTACTGATACATGAAAGTTTTGTAAGTCTCAAAAACATCCTGCTAGGTTAAAGAAGCCAGGCATAAAAGACTATTGCTTGATTATATATGTGTGTTGTGTATCATTTTGTCAAAACTCAAATTGTACACTTAAAAGTTGTAATTTTTACTATGTCCAAGTTGTGTTACTATAATTTTCTTTTTATGTGCCAATCCTGGGGCTTGAACTCAGGGCCTGGGTGCTATCTTTGATCTTTTGCACTAAAGGCTAGTGCTCTACAACCATGAGCCAAAACTCCACTTGTGGCTTTTGTGGTCTAACTGGAGGTAAGAGCCTCATATACTTTCCTTCCTGGGCTGGCTTTGAACTTCAACCCTCCAATCCCAGCCTTTTCAGTAGCTAGCATTACAGGAGTTAGCCACTGGTGCTGACCTATGGTTAGCTTTTTAAGTTACAGAAATAAGACACTTGAACAGTCTTGAATTTGATTGCTATGGCTTATTCTGAGTTTTGCACAAGTTGTCATGCTAATTTGGGGCCTTGTACTTGAAAACTGATATTACGGTGAGCTACACCTAAAATAGGCAAGTGCTCTGCTACTTGAGCCACACATCCAGCCCTTTTATGCTTTAGTTATTTTCTAGTCTGAGGGTGGCCTTGGATTGCAATACTCCAATTTAGGCCTCCTGTGTAGCTGGGATTATTCATATGAGCCTTATTAAAATAAGGTCTTAACTTTTTTTCTCAAGCTGGTCTTGAAGTACAGTCTACCTGATCACTGCCTCCCAAGTAACTAGGAGTACAACTGTGCCATGCTAGTTTTTATTCAGCCCTTCAGCATTATAGTCACAGCAAAACACTAGGATTATGGTACTCAGGGTGAGCCATTCAGGTGAAGATATTCATAAGGAAGCTACAAATATGCTTCTATCACTCTGGTGGAAAGCTGGAACTAGAGACACACATTTGGGAATCATTACCAAAAACAACAGAAACCAGAGAATTGCTCAAACTTTCATCTAATTGTCAGCTCTCAAATCTAAAACAAATGAGTTCAATTTTTTAAAGGTCAGCTTCTCCATCATATTTAAGTGGTAACACCACTGGACTTAAAACCATATTTTTGATTTGTTGCTATCTCCAAGCTCAGGAACCTTACCTGGTTTAATTTTTCAGTGTGGTTCAGCCTTGAAGTTTCCATTGCATTGAATGACGTCTTCTCGGGGGCCAGTATTTGCTTTGGTGATTCCATGTTTGAAGAGGGTTGTAAAAAGGGTGCCTTTGCAACTGGACAGCCTGTGGGGTATGCCCCCTGCTGTTTCATTCTAAATGGCTGACTAAAATTTTTACCTTTTGTAAGTAACAGAATAAAAAAAACTATCACTATTAAGCAATTGCTTATTTGATTGAGAAGTAAAGCTTGAAGAAAACTTACATTTTTATAGTAATAAAAATGTACATATAAGTTGTTAGTCATACATAGAAGAAATCCTAACTATGTTACAAAAAATGATTGGCACGTTTAAAACTCTAGATTACCTAGAAGGCAGGACTCTACAGGTAAACACCTAAAAGTTTTACCTTACTTAGAAAACCAAAAATTCTCCCAACTATGGAGTGTGCTTAGAATTGTGCTTCTCAAACTGGATGACCGTTTCATAGTATGGGAGAGGGAGAAGGAGGAGAATCTACAAAGCAAAGATTATTGTTTGTTTTACTCAACTCAACCTCTGCAAAGTATAATAGCATAATTTAGTCTTAAGTTTGAGCATGTGAAGAATATTGATGCTGAGAGAGCTACACCTGACAGTAGCCTCCAGGGCTTTCTGTGACTATGGCAACCTTCTATCATCAAACTTCTAACTGGCCAATTAGACACTGTTTTGGAAACCCATAGCACATGGAAGAATCTACATACAGATTTTGGGGGAAAAAAGAAAAATTGCTAATATAGTTGTAAAATTCAGAGTCCTCTTCTGCTCAGTGTTAAATTCTATCTTGTTCAGGGTCTAGGGAGATGATGCATGAAAGACTGCATTGGCGTTAGTCTTGAGTCTATAGTGACTACTTGTTACAAGCTCTTTACAGACCTCATCTCATGTAAGGTGCTCAGCACAGCTCCTACGGACAAGTCCTCTAATTCTGAGATGGGGAAACGTGGACAGATGGGAGTAACATGCATACTCTTGTTTGCAAGGGGCCTAGAAAGCTTTTTTAACTTTCACAAATTCAAGGAGCTTAACTCCTGATTGTAGCACATTTCTACGTGTCATGATTGCTCCACATGTGCTTCTCTACAATTATTATTGCAAATATGCTTACCTGCTGGCCATCCTCTATGCTTTTCCTCAGACATATTCTTCTTTAGCATCAGTAAAGAACCTGCTCTGGTCTGCTCTACAGCAATGATATCTGAAGCTGCATTCAACACTTCAAACATAGACAGAAATCCATACTGCACATATTGAAATGATCGTCCAAATCGCTTGACAAACGCCTTTTCAAAATCAGAAAGGAGAACAGGAGACAATGCCAAGAGGTCTTTCAACTCACTCTTCACAACAGCTGGGAGAATGGGAGGCACCCTTCCCCGGTAAGGCACTCGACGAGAGGTTGGCCCAGAGCAAGCACTGGCTCTTCCCTTTTGTATGGAGTTTCGAACCTTAGTGCTGCTCCTCTGTTTTGCAACTAAATTTGCTATTCCTTTTGTGGATTCATCTGGAATGGCTACGGAGAGGTGAAAAAATAATTATCTAAGTGAATAACATCCTCCTTTTATCCTTGGTATCTGAAGTTATACAGAAAATATTCAACTCCCCAAGGAGCTGTTTATCTAAGTAGCAGAATACACATGCAGTCCCTGTTCCATCATTTCTTGCTTTTGGACAACAGCATGCTAAATGCTCTAAGATGAAACCTATTGTATCATAATTACTCCTAATTGGCTCCTGAAAAATTTCAAACTCTTCAGATGGACAACAATCTTTCCTACAATGATCTGTGTGTATGCTTCAAAGAATTTAAAATGAGTTCTTGCTGGGTACTGGTGGTTCGTGACTGAAATCCTAGCTACTCAGGAGGCTGAGAATTGAGGATCTCAGTTCGAAGCCAGCCCAGGCAGGAAAGTCTATGAGACTCTTTTTTAAAAAAGCCAGAAATAGAGGATTTGGCTTAAGTGGTAGAACACTAGCTCTGAGCTAAAGAAGTGCAGGGACAGCACCCAGGCCCTGAGTTCAAGCCCCAGGACCAGCACAAAATAAAATAATTGTAATTTCATTGTTTCATTGTTGTTTTTTTCCTGATTTGAGGTAAGAACCTGCAGTCAGGCTCTCATGCTAATGTTATTTTTATAAATGAACATTTTGCCAGGCACCCGTAGCTCACACCTCTAATCCTAGCTACTCAGGAAGCTGAGATCTGAGGGTCACAGTTCAAAACCAGGCTGGGCAGGAAAGTCAGTGAGACTCATCTCCAATTACTCACCAGAAAACCAGAAGTAGCACTGTGGCTCAAGTGATAAAGCACTAGCCTTAAGCTGAAGAGCACAGGGACAGCAGCCAGGCACAGAGTTCAAGACCCACAGCCAACAAAAAAATTTAATATAAATAAAATAAATGAACATTTTTCTGAGAAATGGCTTGTTATTATTATTAGGTGGTACTGGAATATTGGGGTTTGAACTCAGGGTCTGATGCTGGCTCAGCTTGTTTGCTGTCACTCCATCACCTAAGCCACACCTGTCCAGCATGTTGCTAGTTAACTGGTAAAGGAGTCTACAGAACTTTTTTCTGCCAGGCTGGCTTCAAACCCAGATCCTCCAGATCGCATCCTATTGAATAGCTAGGATTACAGGTGTGAGTCAGCAACGCAGGGCTGGCTTCTTTTAGAGGTGTTTCACTTTGCCCACAATCATAAAGGCACCTGATTCTTTCAACTCCAAATTAAAATCCACTGCCTGGCTAACCGTCGAGGTAGAACAATTCTATACTGTGTATTTTTAAATTACAAAACTTAAGAGACCCTGAGAACTCTTAAACCTACCTTTCAGTATTATGGTACCATTTCCACAGGGGCAGACACTGACCACATCAGGCATGTCTAACACCAACTCCATGGTGGACCGATACCCCAGGATTCGGAGGGGTAGGTGATTGCCAACCATCAAAAGGTACTCCTTTTCCAACTGCTGCGGGGTCAAACCATTTTTGGTAGAAATAAGAAGTGATCTTATTTCTTTCCTCAGACATTCCTGTATACGCTCTTGTTCAGACATTGTACCCTGCAGGATTTAAGACACGAATATAGCTCATTGCTCATTGGGGCGGGGTGGGGGTGGGGGGGAAGCAGGGGAAAATACCCTTAACCGACCAACAGTGAAACGATCAGTCATAAGCCTAAACTTGGATGCAGCCGGGGCTGCAGAGGTGGACGCGGCCCCCTCCGCTCAAGCCTTCCAAGTCAAGCTGTGGGGCAGGAGCCCCCGGCTCCCCGCCTGGCTCGGTTCAGGGGATCACTGGGACTCCCTTGGGGGTGCAACCTGGTCTCCCAACGACTCTCGGGGATCGGGGTGGGGCTGGGCTGGGCAGCCAGGACAGTTCCGAGGAGGGAGCCGCCCGGGAACACCACGGCCTACAGTTTCCAAGCCCAGACCGCTTCCCCTTACCTCAAGGCAACGACGTCTCTCACCAGGCTGGCTCCCCCTCCCTAGGCCAGAGTGTTGGGGTCCCGCGCCCAACGGCCCCTGCTGTCCCTGCCCCCCACCCTGGCGGAACTGAAGAGCAGTCCTTCCACCCGCCTGGGGGCTGGGGGGGGGGGCTAGGCGGGGAACCCAGATGTGGAGCAGGCCTCACGAGGCCTGGAGGCCGTTGACCAGCGTGTCCTCCTGAAGCCCGCTGGTGGCTGCACTGCGCATGCTCACGCACCGCCTTTTCCAGGACGTTTGGCTTGGGGTGCGTGCTGCGTGCGTGGGTGGGACGGTTGGGTGGGACCCGCTGCTCCGGGGGCCTGCCTGGGCTCCCTCATCCGGGTCACTCTGCTTATCTCCTCCCTGGGAGTGGAAGCAGCCAGGTGGGACCACGGCACGTGGGGGAGGGAAGAAGCCCCCCCCCTTCCCTGGAGGAAGCACCTGATCAGAAACAGCTCAGCACCCGAGGCTGGGGAACTGGCTCAGGTGGTAGCACTCCTGCCTCGTAAAGCGCAAGGTTCCGAGTTCAAGCCCCAGCAGCCCCACAGATGTTTCTGACCAGCAGAGATTTAGAGGAAACTAAAATTCCTGATAGAAAACCACTGCGAGTTTGGGTGGAGAACATGCCAGGCTCCACTAGTTATAGGGGACTAAAGAACAGAAAAATGCGTTTAGAAATAAGCCAGCCTTGCCGGGTCCTTGGCAAATAGCGACAGTAGTTCGTGAGCGTAAATGGAGGCGTTCTCTGAGCTAAGGGGAAGGGGCGCTGTGGCTCGCGGGGTAGCGCCAGGCCCAGGGTTCAAGCCCCACCACCGGCAAAAGAAAGAAAAATAAAATGTAAAAGCTAATTAAACAGGACAAACCAACACCCGTAATCCCAGGGCTTGCGAGGCTGAGCAAGAGGATCTCAAGAACATGGAGTATCTGGTTACATGGATAAGCCCTTTATTAAAAAAGAAGAAACCTACTTTCTTCCTGAAGTCCCATGTTATATGTTATAACCAAAACCAAAATATTCCACCCATGAATGAAGAGTAGTAACAAGAGGGACAAGATTTATAGCTGGTTTGTAGTGGGATGAGTAGGCTTGAGTATTAAGTCAAAAAGTAAGTACATGGACGATAAATGCAGACGCTGCAACACGAATGACAGAAGCTATAAATCTGTAATGAGGGTAGTGGTAGTGAGGTTTGGATAGTTTTAAATGTGGACAAAAATATCTCCGGAGCCGGGCGCTGGTGGCTCACGCCTGTAATCCTAGCTACTCAGGAGGCTGAGATCTGAGGATCGCGGTTCAAAGCCAGCCCGGGCAGGAGAGCCCGTGAGACTCCTATCTCCAATAAACTACCAGAAAACCGGAAGTGGCGCTGTAGCTCAAGTGGTAGAGCACTCGCCTTGAGCTGAAGAACTGAGGGACAGCACCCAGGCCCAGAGTTCAGGCCCCATGACCGACCAAAAAAAATATATATATATATCTCCGGATACAAAGGGGGTGTATAGCCAGCGTGGCCCCTTGGGCTGGCCAGAGGGGGTGGGGCGTCGAGCCCCTCACGGTGAGCTGTTAAGAAGTGATTGGGCAGTGGGCAGCTTGGGCGAGGGGCCTGAGTGACAGTTGGAAATAACTAGGCCGATGAACCCTGGCGGCCTGTGGGAGTGGGGAGGGGCACGGCCTACAGGCTGGGCCTGTTCTCAGCAACAGGAGTGAAGAGACCGCAGGAGACAAGAAGCACCTACCAGAGCAGGGCAGGGCAGGCCTGTGGAGAGTGGAGAGGCCTGCAGAAAAGGAGGAAGGAAAGAAAAGGAAAAAGCCTTCCTCTTTGGAGGTTTGGAGGTCTGGGGTTTGGAGGTTTGCAGAGGAACTAATAGAGCTCGGGGCTGCCTTTTGGAGGCTTGGTGGTCGAGGCTGCTCTTGGTTTTGGGTATTTAGCCCAAGACAAGGTAGTCGCAGGCCCCCTTTCTGGTGTAAATAGTGTAAATAAGTTTATTATCTTTAACTGTGCCTCAATGGATGGTCTCGCTCTTGAAAGGTCATAATTGGAGCACACGGAGTCCTTAGAAAAATTATTTTTTTTAGAATAACCTTAAAAAATCCCCCAAATAAATGAAACAAAATCCCATCTTAAAGGTTTTTATATGGAAATTAGTTGCAAAGAAGATATAGCCAATAACTTAAAAAGACAGCCTACAGAATGGAAGATTTTGCCAGCTACACATTAAACAATAGCCTAATATCCAGAATATACAGAGAATTATAAACTCTCACGAGGCCAACAACCTGTTTAATAATAGACAAGTGAGCTGAGACTTCTCAGAAGAATCAATAAAAATGGCCAATAGAGGGCTGGGAAGGTGGCTCAGTGGCAGAGCACTTGCCTTGCATGCATGAGGCCCTGGGTTTGATTCCTCAGCACCACATAAGCAAAAAGAAAAAAGCCAGAAGTGGCACCGTGGCTCAAGTGGTAGAGTGCTAGCCTTGAGCTGAAGAGCTGAGGGACAGCGCCCAGGCCCAGAGTTCAGGCCCCACGACCGGACCCCCCACCAAAAAATGGCCAATAGCCATGCACAGAAATGCTCAACATCTCTGTCCATAAAGGAAATGCAAATCAAAACAACATTGAGAATCTACCTCACCCCAGTTAGAATGGCCATTATCCAGAGGACCAAGTGCTGGCGAGGATGCAGCCAAAAGCGAACACTAATACACTGTTGGTGGGAATGAAACATGTTCAACTACTCTGGGAAGCAGTATGGAGGTTCCTCAAAAAAAAAATTAACCATAGAGCTACCCTATGTTCTAATAATTCTAACCCAAAAGATTATAGGTCAAAATTCAGTCAAACCACCAGCACAACCAATTATATTCCAGCTATTCACTTGGTAACTAGGGCCATAATCACTACATGAACTCAGTCCCACCAGCCCCCATCTGAATGTGAACTTGGACTAAAATTCAGTTTGTCTCCAAACCCTATCAGTTCAAAATGTTAATGGCAAACAGGGACATCTGGGGGACCAGAAATGGGTATCTGTTTGGGAGTGCCAAGTGGTAGTCACTAACAAGTTTGGATATTTTCTTTTCTCCAGAGAAATTGTACATAAGGGATTAGAAGTATGAAATGAGTTTGCCATATTAGGTATAATGTTTCCACAGCATCCTTCAAGACAGCTATGTTCAGAAATAGCTATAGATCTCTGACATGGTTTATTGCTAGGAATCAGATAACATGTCTGTCCCTCTACCTCATGAGAGGGCTCTGTTCCTAAGACTCACAGCCTGTGGGTTTGGTGTTTTTGTTTTTGGCCAGTCCTGGGGCTTGAACTCGGGGCCTGGACACTGTCCCTGAGCTTCTTTTTGCTCAAGGCTAACACTCTACCACTTTACCACAGAGCCACTTCTGGCTTTTTCTGTTTTTGTGGTACTTGGGCTTCATGCATACTAGGCAAACATCCTACAACTAAGCCACATTCCCAGTGTGAGCCTGTGTTTTAAAGGGTTTTGTTGCTCCACAAATCAAAAAGGCTTAGTGGACTGTTGGGTTCATTCCTTGGGATCCTACAATTAATTAACTATAACCAGAGGACTCTGTGGGTTAAACCAATATGATCCCCCACCATCTGTTTATTATGATAATCAGGATCTATGTTTCTGCTAGTAATTACCTGCCTCCAGCTGGTCTCCTCCCAGCTCTGCTTATATCTGGGAGTATATTTTAATTACAGCTGTTCCTAAAAATAAGAGTTTTGCTTATGTTTCCAAAGTTCCTAGCATTTCAATATATGCTTTATGACAGGAATGAGGGAAAAAAATTGCAGTGTTGGGGATAAAACCCCTTGGCCTTGTGCAAGATAAGCAAGCACTGTATGTTTGAGCAATATTTCTGGCCAAGAGAATCTTTTGAAGACCAGAGGGAAGGAGTGGACAGTTAAAAACACATAAGAGAATCAACACAGCATTCCTGTCTCCCAAGATCTTAAATATTATACCTAGTTTGGGGCCATTTGATATTGTTGATCAAGCTTGTTGTCTACAGTTATTGCTCTAAGTTTTTGCCATCTTATACTTCTTTCCCAGGTCCTGCCCTACCACTAAAAATGACTTTGCTCCCCTCTATTGAAAATGGAAGGACTTATACATGACTCCCTTCAACTTCCAGGTCAAGACTATTTATTAACCTTATCAGATCTTTCCTTCTAGCATCCACGTGAAGGAGTCATCCATCTGTTCTGATTCTGTCCCCCAACACAACTAGAACGATGACCATGCCCTTTGGTTATATTATATGATACTCTATCCTCACTGTCTCTTTTCAGATTCCTTTCATACAACATCATTCTTTGATCCTTTTTATCCTATGTACTCAGACGCAGGAAGAGAAAGAGAGCCAGGGAGAAACAAACACTTCCCTTAACCTACATTGGCCTAAGCCTCTTCTTCCCAACCAAATCAACTTTTTCCACTTTCTCTTCCACCATTTACCATTTGATCCAAAGCAATGAGCCCACTTCTCAGGACATCTTTTTTTTTCTGTTACTTTTACTGAAATTAATGTCAGATCTTCACGTTGACAATTTGTATGGATGTGTCAATC